GGGCTAGTTTTAACAATAATAGAAGAAAATCCAGCATCCGACTGCAATCTCACGAGATCGATGAATTTGAGGAAGACGACCACCTTTTTACCAAAGAAGTAATAAGTTTTGCTGAAAAAGCGGAAGAAGATCATTTAACTCTTAAGGGACTCCTAGCAAGTTCCAAACCAAACTCAACAATTTTCATCAAAGAGGAAGGGACAAGGCTGGAATTTTTGAAGGATCCAGCAGGCTGGATGAGTAAATACCCTGGTCACACACAAACCTTTGCTAGAGACGACCACTACATTGGTTACATGGTGGGTTTGCTAGAGATAATCATCAATAGTTCCCCCTATGGAGAAGACAGGCACGACCTTTACTCCCCGATACTTCTGCTAGAAAAAATGATTTCAAAGGAAGCTCTGATGGAACGTCGTGACCCCATGAGAACAGCCCTAAAACTGCAACACCATCTTCAGGAATATGCCCGAAAAGAGAATGACAAAAACTCTCTCTACGATAGGAGAATCGAGAACCTGGAGAAAATTCCTGGGAAATTCGCCGTGATGCTGATAAATGCCTGCTCAACACCCATGGAAGTTACCAAACTGATGAGACTAGATGATGACACCATGTTCCTTGATGTGCTGAAGTCCAACAACACCCAACTTGTTGCATCTAAAATTTACCAGAAAGTTGTCTGGAAAACCTTCTGGGGATCTGTTACTTCAGCCGAACAGAGTGGAGGCCAATTAATAAAACTAACTTACGCTCTAAAGAGACTTACTTTCTTTTTTGTTTGGAACTTGTCCTATCTGCCATTGTTTCTCCTGTCACAATTCAACAGTAGGTTTAAGAAGAAAATGAAAAGAGTAGACACTGACTTCTTCTCTCCCTTCAGCTCCTACCTAGCTGACTTGCTGAACTACTGCATCCTCGTTGCCCTCTTGCTGACTGTCTCCCTGACTACTGTCCCTGACCCCACACCAGTACATCGGCTGCTCCACCAGCTCAAGACCGGCAACATTACAGCAGACAACAATCCTCAGTTTAAAGTTGAGGATGACGGTAGTATCCTCGTGAAGCTCCAAACTCCCAACATTCCTTTGTCTGAGTGGAGCTTGTGGGTTTGCATATTTTCCAGGGTCCTGACAGAGTGGTACCAAGCATACCAAAAGAAAGGCTCAGGAGCTAAAGCCAAGTTGTTAAAGTACTTCAATAGCTTCTCCAATCTGAATGATGTTGTTTTGATATTGCTTCTGATAACGGGGATGGTATTTAAACTGTACGTGTACATTGTTTCCAATCTGTCTGGTATTTACCATCCTATAGGCCACAACCGCATGGTATCACACAGGTTGGTATTCACCATTTACTTATACAGCACAGCAACAGTAATGGCCATGGTCCACATGCTAGAGATTTGCACAATTCACATCCCCGGGTTGGGTCCACTGCTTCGAGCTATTAGAAGAATGTTTGCGGAGATAAGCCGGGTCATGTTTCTTTTTGGCTTCTTTTTAGTTGGGTTCATAGTCCCCATGTTGAGTCTAGCATCCTGCTACCGTGCAGTTCATGGGATTGATGGAGTTGATGATAGAAATGATTTCTTCTCGTTGAAATCACTCAGCAATACAGTGCTCACTCTGATATGGTCCTTGTTCAGCGGACTAGCGTGGAGTCACAAGATTGACCTCTACAATTCCCTGGATGGAGCCCTGACATTCTTCATGGCATTCCTCCTGGTTATCTACGAGATTCTTCTCTGCAACATGTGCATGAACCTTCTCATTGCTATTATGTGTGACGCATATTCTAAGGTCAATGCGGACAAGTCTTCTCACTGGAGATTTGCTCAGTTTGAGTCCATCATGGAGTACAATGCGGTCACTAATGTGGAGGGTCACGGAATGCCCTTCCTCGTTCCCTTCTGCATTCCTTACATTGCCTTCAATCTCATCACCAAAACGTGCGAGAAGAGGCAACTCAAGAAGATAAACTCTGGGAGAAGGAATGACAATCATTTCGCACAGTTTCTCTGTAAGTGCAGAGGAAATGAGTTTAAAAACGATGTAGGCGTGAAGACGGAGCCTACGTAGTACGTATGATAAGTGTACAAGTAATGTACAATTTATGTAACAATCTCTCCTACTGTAACACTTCCTAATGTGGAACTATGATACGTGCACAAGTAATGTACGGCTGTAGGACTATTGAGCGGAGGACTGTTGAGCGTAGGACTGTAGGTCGGACGTCGGTGAAGGTCGGAAGTAGGACTGTAGAGCAGTGTCAAATCGCCAGGGTTGGACTCTAGAGCGGCCGCCCTTATAGATCTCACAACATGAGGACTTTAGAGCGGTACGATCCTAAAATGAGGACTGTAGAGCGGTGGACAGTTGAGCGGTGGACTGTAGGCCGGTGAAGGTCGGTGAAGGTCGGAAGTAGGACTGTAGAGCAGTGTCAAATCGCCAGGGTTGGACTCTAGAGCGGCTGCCCTTATAGATCTCACAACATGAGGACTTTAGAGCGGTACGATCCTAAAATGAGGACTGTAGAGCGGTGGACAGTTGAGCGGTGGACTGTAGGCCGGTGAAGGTCGGTGAAGGTCGGAAGTAGGACTGTTATAGAGCGGCCCTCCCATATAGATCCCATAACATGAGGACTCTAGAGCGGTACCCTCCTATAACATGAAGACTCTATAGCGGTTGAAAATTTGAAGATTGAACACTCAACGAAGCTAAGTTATACATTGTAACTCGTGATTGATTATGGTCATGACATTCTAGGATGATAACTTTATTAAAGAGTCATGGAGTTAATGAACATTTTCATTCGTCCCCGGATGAAGATGGGCTTCTCAGGAGGAGAAAGACTGTTAACACTCTGCATATTGTAGGTACTTGTAGAAGAGGAGTAGGAATCGAATTTGATATACGAAAACTGGATACTCCGTGATATTTATACCATACCTTCAAAATCCTAACAAGATATCGCACTGCGATGGGATCTGATCTGAATCAGTCCCGTCACCAGATTGATGAACATGAGATATCCTTAGTAGGCGCTAAAGCGTCACGTGCGATCCTCATTCCTAAATGATCTGCACGAACTTGATCGGTACTCTGCTTAGCGAAATCACATTGATACGAACAGTTCACTAAAATACCGAAGAAAAGTTTTACATTTTTGAGTAGCAGGGGAATATTTCAATCATTTGGAAGACGTTGAGACCGACCAATAATCTTAAATTAAGTTACACTATAATATTAGTAATAAAATATTTATAATAAGTAAATGAAAATGTTCATTAACTCCATGACTCTTTAATAAAGTTATCATCCTAGAATGTCATGACCATAATCAATCACGAGTTACAATGTATAACTTAGCTTCGTTGAGTGTTCAATCTTCAGATTTTCAACCGCTATAGAGTCCTCATGTTATAGGAGGGTACCGCTCTAGAGTCCTCGTGTTATAGGAGGGTACCGCTCTAGAGTCCTCATGTTATAGGAGGGTACCGCTCTAGAGTCCTCATGTTATGGGATCTATAAGGGAGGGCCGCTCTACAGTCCTACTTCCGACCTTCACCGGCCTACAGTCCACCGCTCAACAGTCCACCACTCTACAGTCCTCATTTTAAGATCGTACCGCTCTAAAGTCCTCATGTTGTGAGATCTATAAGGGCGGCCGCTCTAGAGTCCTACCCTGGCGATTTGACACCGCTCTACAGTCCTACTTCCGACCTTCACCGACCTACAATCCTACGCTCAACAGTCCTCCGCTCAATAGTCCTGCTCCCGTAATGTACAAATGTAACAATCTCTCCAACTGTAACACTTCCTAATGGATTTCAGGACACGCACGTATAATTTTATTTATAAATTTTGAAACTGATTAACATGGGCCCGACCCTCCTTGAGAATATTTTTTCTGTTGAGAAATTATAATGATATTTGTTGTTAGAATTTCTTATTACTTGCTCTAGACATGATATGAAAGCGTCTGGAACTCCGAAAAACATGTCCCTTTTCTGAAACAACTTTTTTTTCAGGCTTTTGCTTTCAACGGTTATGTTTAAATCTTATTTTTAGATTGTATCTTTATCTATGTTGTATATTTGCTAGCAGCTTGACTGTTGAACAATTAATGCGACTTGAATTATTGCATCATTGCATCATGTGTTTTGTTTGGGTTATATTAAGAGGTTATTTTGGTTTTTAGGAATTTCGAGGGCATTTTATAATGAATTCTGCAGATTTTGTCATTTTTGAGTACTAGTCCATTATATTGACAATCGAAAATGAAAATAGTCTTTCTTAAGTAAGCCGATACGCTGGGCCTTATGTACTTGTAGTCATTTTATTTCATCTGAGATAACGTTCTGAACTCGGACAAAAAGCTTAAAATTAAGATGTGTAAAACTTTCTCACGCTTGTAAATCCGACTCTGCTCACAAGTGGCATAACGTTACCATTTACGTTAAGTTGGCCTGGAAGAGGCACATTAAGCCGCCAAATCAGACGGTCCCCCCCCCCCTCCTCAGCCAGGCCTTTTGTTACGCCACTACTGCTCATCGTAATCTGATACACACACACACAATTTACAAAGTTACAAGGAGCACGTGAAACCCCACCTAACCTGGATTACCATCCCGCCTGAAACACGCGTGACTAACTTAGCGTGTTTAATCTTGTTCCTTCCATACAGCCCCATATAACTTTAACTTCCTTCATTTTGTTGTTGTCTTTGTACGAACTGATTTAACAACCGGAATGAAAGTGTCCGTACTTTTATTAAAATTGCTTTGCCGATGAAAATAGCTTTTAAGTGGCTCGAAAATCATGAGATTTAATTGGTTTTTCCTAATCGGAATATGGATAAAAAACGGCTCCTTTTTGCTATTTTGATAATTGGGTTAACATACGTCATCGGGTTTTGTTTCTAACGCTCCCGTTTTTAAATTGTGAAAGCAGGTAAATATTATTTTCCGGTGCTTAATTGACTTTTGTTTGATTTATAGCTACTGAAAACGAAAAGAAGGACTAGATTGATTGAAAAAACGAAAGATATTTGCCGGTGGGTTTTTAAGTTCGCGACTATCCTTTAGTACCATTTGGCTACTATACAAGAATATCGCGAATTTTCGTGGTAAAAAACTAGATAGTAAGATTTCAAATGTAATTTACTTACTATTGCAATGAAGAATTTTGAAATTACTCGATCCCATTATAATTTATAGGAAGGCTTATACTGGTTTAAAGTGTCAAATAATTCTTATCTTGGTTAAATTTCAGAGATTGTAAATATGGAGCAGTACAAAACTAACGGGAGAGAAATCAACAAGAAGTACTGTTCATTTACAGATAAATTCCCGATAATGTTGCCCCCTGCTCCCAAACAAACATACATTGATGTTTACTTAGAAGGGGATGGAAGTTCCAGCAGCCAATTTGACCAAGACAAGCGCCTGCAGGCTGATTATGAAACCGAGGTAACAGCATACCGTTCTTTAGAGATCTTGGATGAAAACATTATAGTGTTGCATGGGTTTGAATTCACTCATCACCAATTCCGACTATGGGACGTCAACCATAAAAGAGGGTCTTGTTCTAAATGTAAAAAAGCTGCAAACAGAGATGGAGAATGTGATTTTATCGTTATCGGGAAGAACTATTCAGTGGTTATAGAGGTGAAAAACTTACCTCACGATGAAAATCAGGATGTAACAACGGACAAAGAAAAATTACTTAAAGGCTTGTTTCAGAAATCACAGAAGCAACGAGAAAGAACGGAATGTTTGATTGCCAGCATTGTGAAGCAAGTGTTCGGAGAAACCACCCCGGAACAACACAGAATACTGACTTTCTCTGCTTTTCCAAACACTCACATAAGTCTATTGCAGAACATGGATGAAGACCACAAAAAGCAGATGATATGCCAGGAGGACTTCCGTAACTTCACTGGCTGGTGGGGTAGAAATGTAACGAAATTAATCTCTGACAATGTTGGAGATGAAATCAGCCTTAATAAACACGAAACAGTCAAAGAAATACTGTTGGCTATATGGTGTACTGATAAGAACAAGTGTGATCAACTCAAGTGTAGTTTAGGTAGATGCGTCGAGGAGATTGATGCAGAGTTGAGGAAAGGGAATATTACATTTTCGAGCAAGAACCGGGCACCGAATCCTAACGTGATAAAAGCAACTGATGTAAAAGCTGCGAATTTAAGGAACGGTCTCAACATATTTAGAGATATTATCGGGATACAGAACTTAACTGTGGAACAAGTTAACGCTTTTAATAGTGACCAGAACTTCTTGTTTATCAGCGGACCTGCAGGTTCCGGCAAGACTGTCATATTGTTGGCAAAGATCATACAATTGATCAAATCTTGGAAATCGAATGAAAAGAATGAAGTTTTGTTGTTTATTTATGGGGAAGTTAAGGACACGTTTTGTTATGTAGACGCTCTACAGAAAGCTGATATCAGTTATAGAGTGTATAAACATGATCGAGTACAGGATAATGCGCAGGAAAACCAAGTTCAGATAATTGAGATGCCGGTTAAGGGAACTTTACCTTTTCAGTTAGACGATGTACTTCGAGGATTAAAGAGATCAAGTAAAAGACACCTGTTTGTGGATGACTTTCAATCTGCATTGTATAATAACTATACCTCAAGGCCAAAAGCTCTACTCAAAATATTGAGAGACATATCCGTTACTAGCCCGATCTGGATGACATGTGATTTGACTCAAATAAACTGGTACCCTGGTTATCAAAACAGTAATATCATAAGCACAGTACCAGGTCTTCATCGAAGAGATGCCCTCTAAAAGTTTAGTTTATTTGTCGCTAAATCTGAGAAATACGTTTGATATAGCTGGCATACTATTTAAGATAAGAAAAAACTTATCGGAAGAGTACAGGAACATGATTTACCCGCATCTGAAACCCGGTCATTACATACACGGGCCCCAAACTGTTATTCATGTTCTTGAGCAGAGAGTTACCAATACCAATATGACTTTGATCTACAGAATGGTGAATAGAGAACTAGATAAACTTTGTGAGATAGGTTTCTCAAGCGGGTTGAAAGTTGGTGCTGTGGAAAGTGCTACACTGAGGTCGAGTTCCAGTTCAGTACTAAAAAATGTAAAAGAAAAACGAGTATCTAATGACATGATAGAGTACTGTGATACTATGTCTTGTAATTCAGCTGAGTTCCCAGCAGTTTTGGTGGTATACGATGTTTTTGTAGGAGGAATAGGGTCTCTCTATCTGGCGGTATCAAGAGCAAGAGTGTACTCTACTGTTATATTGCACTCTTCATATACTAATCTATCAGAATGTCAAAATATTAATAATTTGTTACGTGAACTTGGTGCAGATGATTCTGTAAGAATAATATTATACAACTAATGCCAGCGGTTCTCATTGATTTTTAAATATAATAAAAAATTCAAATTCAGAAATTATTTCAAGTGTTTATTATATCATTATAATTTGTATCAACTGCCGTTGATGTAATCATTTTATGAAAAGCCCGAATGAATAGCATCGAAAAGAAAAGAAATGGTGTTTACTTGAGAGATAACACTCCAACTGTATACTCATTACTTAATACTTATGTTAGCAAAAATTGTAATATTTTAGAAATTGATGATGAATGATCCAGTCATAAGTATAACGGTTAATTTGAAAATATGCTAAAATACTCTCCAAACCTTAGGATCATCATTATCAAGCAAGCAAACAACCCTCTCCTTCAGTCCCAACTTTTCGACATTGTATTTCCCCTGCAGAAAAAAAAAGTAATTTTTCTCGATTAAAATAATCGATCACGTCATTCTTGTAAGGCCTCCAAATAATAAAAACTTCCTCGCAGTAAAAACAGATGTACTTACAACAGGGTAATGCCTGACGTATTCCCCGACATCGTGCGCGCACACAGCCAGTGTAGTCGGGTCTTGCTCGTCCTTCAGCAGTATCCGTATCATCCGTAAAACTTCGTGATCATTTTGGTTTAGCTTCTGAGCGTTTTCCCGCCAAAATGCTGGGTTTGTGTGCAATGGCGACCATTCCAACTTACCAGACTTTACCTGTTTAAAATATATGCAGCGTTAGTTTAAACAGAACAACCAATGAAATTACTCCAAAACCGATCGGATCGCCGGGATATCAAATCAACACCAGTAAGTGTATAAAGCAAGTTAACTTGTTCTCAGTATCTACACAAGTACACAGACCTCAGCAAGATAACTGTCAAAAGTACTCATATCTTGCAGCATCTCATCCAGCACACCCTTTACGTGCTCAACATCTTCCTTGATGTCCTCATCCTTCCAGTTCTTCTCTATCAGCTGTCCTATCACTACCTGTTTGTTTTGGGATATGATGTAAATTAAAAGACAGCATCGAGATTTGGAAATGCACCATACGCATAATCGCACATTTGTACATTAAGCGCTATTTTAGATTTTAATAGAAATCATCATTCCTCATTTTATCTTAAGTAGTAATTATGGACAGTAAGGTTTTAAGAGGTTTTGATTGAATCAGTGAGAGTTACCTGAACTTTTCCTTGGATCATTAGTTCAGCTATCTTTCTTGGAGCTGAGTGATTGGTTAACAGATTTCTGTAGAACTGCAATATTATTCTGATAACCTGAAATAGAGAAAATAATCTAACTCCATTACTTCAAACATTATTTCAGTAAACATGATACATTTAAAAGTGCTGATCATGAAAGAAAAAATTAAATTCTTGAAAAAAAGTACAACTCGTTTCAAAATATAACCTTTTCTTTAACAGCTTGTCGCAGAATTTCAGCAGTAGGCTTAATAAAATCCATCAACTTGAAGCAGTACGTTGTTCTGAAACTGAGCAGCCAAAAGCAGAAAACCATCTGATACTGCAACTGAAAGCATACGATTCCTGTAAACCTGGTGTTCACAAAAATTCATAATGTACAATCCTAAAATCAGAATTTGTAAGAACTATCATAAATAATGAAACCTGGAAGCTGATTCTGGTGGACAAGATGTTGAGCATCTTGTCCAGACAAGTAGAGTTGTGGAATGGAGCCCTGTACTCTGTGACCCTTAACATGAGCTGCTGAGAGGCCAGGATGGTGTGAAGGTAGGTGTTGCTTTGTAGCAGCTGGGAAACTTGCCAGTTGATAAACCAGTTCAGGTTCTTGGAGTCCAGTCTAAACTGTCCACAACTTATCACCTGTCATTCAAGATATACAGTTAGTCAACAGCTACATTGTTAATAGCTCAATTATCCATTTTATCAATGAGCAATTGGCGAAATGTGATAATGCTAAGGTCTCCCACCTTGGCAAGGATTAAGCAGGACTGGTTAACAATAAACTCGTCAGGTCTGTTGAGGAGGTCCAGGAACGGCTCCCAACTACTCATCCCTTTGGGTGCCTCCTTGTTTGCCAACTTCTCTGCAGCGTTACCATCCTCGATCTCTTCAAACAGCTTAATGTTTTCCTTGTCACTCAGGACATCATTTACAAGTACAAGCACGTGCTGCAGAATCTAAAAAATAACAAATGGAAGCATTAGTGAACTGTTGAACACACAACCATTTTACTTATATGTATAACGGCAACAGTCAACACATTGCACATACATAGTTTTAAACTATTTTCACAACTAGGATTAAATACATTTATTGAGAATTATGTAATGTAACGTGATGGAAATATTTTAAACGGGCATATCCTGTCCAAACCCAGGATGCACTACATGAAGAATTCGTTGTAACTTTGTATGAAAAGCATTAATATGGAAAAAACTGCCATCTCAATCAAGAGTATAACGGTTTAAAAGTTTTTGATAGGACAACATTAATTTTGGTACTAGTAAACAAACCTTTTCGTTGCAAATTGAAATGGTGAGGTTGATAAGTGTTTTTACAATGTTCAAACCGTCCACTTTCAACCTTTCCATCTGCTGCTCCTTTGTCATCGTATCATAAACAGCAATAACCTGAGATAGTCGGGATTAAAACGACTCAAGGTCACCTTGTTGATAACAAAGATGGAAAATTTGGATTATTATCATGGAAGTATAAACCTGATTCGAGAATGTAGAAAATGTGTAACTAAAATACATTTTACTAACATTGTAGTCATGCTCCTTGATAACAGCACTTCTTAACAGTGGTTGCCACATGATCGCCTGAAATTATCATTATTTAACTATTTCAGAACTTTTAAAAAATTGAAATACAGTTATTAACCCAGATTTACCATGTATGACCAAAATTGTATTACATAAATAATAAAACTGCTGATGTGCAGATGTGCAAGATATCATAACATTCAAGAAAAAAAATCATGTCGATGGATATATGAGGCATGACTGCCAAATTCAGTAATTATTGGCCAAAAAAATGGTCAATTATCCATATCTAGAAAGATCTTAAGACCAAATTCTTGTGAAAGGTAGGTCTTAAATATTTATCAAGAGTGATTTCTAAAAATAAATTCTGAAAATTTCTTGCTATCCAAGAACGTAATTTCATAAAACGGAATTCAAACAAACCTCAGATCTAATCTGAGTAGCACGAACAGTTAGAGTATCAGTCACTCCGATAACAAACTCCTCAACAATGTCCCCATTTATCGTTGGTGCAATGCCTAGAGAGGTCATCTGGCTGGATAGGATGTTAGATTAATTGGACATACAGTTTAGTAAACATTGCATTTACAATAATTCTGTTCATCATGAAAAATAACTATAAATAATAATATATTGCTTAATACCATATTCTCGTATGATGCTTGAAATAGGAGGGAAAATATTTAGCATTCAAAAGGTTTCAAGGAACTGCAGAACACAAAGGTGAGATTCGTTGATGAATTTTATTTTTACACTCTTAATCAAAGAGAAGTGGTTCTCACATGCTCTTTCGTCAAATATCCTAGATTACCCTGGAACAGCTTGGCCATGTCTCTTTGGTTAAGAAAAAAACAAGGGGGTTCCATGACCCTTTTTCCATGATGAATGGAATAAGAGCTTCCGCCTTCAACACATCAATTTATGGAAACTTATAGAACTCAATCTCTTGATTGAAGAATGCGTGTGAATTTCTGACACCTTGGACATAAGTTGTTGGGCAAGAACTAGTGGTTAATTGTGGTTAGATGGCCACTGTAGAACTGATTATGAAACTAGTAGGCCATCTCCTCTGTTCAAATGCACAGTGCATTTGAAAGTCAGCTAGAACTAGGTAAGTGACCCAAACGTTGTAAGGGTTTGATTTTTTTAAAGCCACCATTGCTTTTTTAAATAGTCAATGTTCAGAAAGTCCCCTAGATGTGTCATGCGGTTCCTCGAACAGCTATCGTTTTTTGAAACACCAATCCTTAAAATCGAGAACCACGTCCTAACCGAATGCCCCGGCCCCAGCTACCACTCCCTCCGGTCCAACCTCTCAGACAACCATAAAAGCCTCATAATGCTCAAAGAATATGGGGCCATCATGAACTCATTTCATGCAACAGAATTTGGAAAGTACCTCCTCACACCTTCAAAATCCTCCTAAGAAGAAGTCCTTGTTATCACCTCATGTCTCTTACTTTCTTCATTACGTCTCATCAACCTATCATGGTCTTTTACTTATCTCCATGAACATGTCTCTTTTTATTGGCAAACCTAGAACACATTTAATTGCCGATTGCACAGTTCTCAATATTTTTACTCGTATTTGAAGTATTATATTCGATTTTGATTCTATTTCGTGAAATTGTAACTCAGTTGCATTTTAAGATTTTATTTTAATAGTTTTCTGTCGATTTTTTCAGTTCCGATCGTTTTATCAATCGTATAGCCAATACAATACGAGTCGTCAATGTTCTCCTTAGTCATTTCATGTTTAATTCCTAGGTTTTAATTCCTGTTTTAATTAATAAAACAAAAGTTTAATAAAACAAAAGTTAAATTTATTACCAATTATTCAATCAATACATATCATAAATTCTAATATTGGAAACACAATGCAGAATGGATGTCTCAAACTATAATTTGTTGTCACTAATAATCTATTTACTTTCAAAGTTGAAATTTAGTTAAGTATGAAATGCCACCACATCATAGTTAGGGTAAAATATAATTCTTAAAAATTTTAAAATTAAGAAGATTGCTCTATGACTTAAAATTTAAAATTTAGCTAAAGATGTCTAATTTTTAAATAGTTGGTTACAGTTTATGACAATTCCTGTTTTAATTCCTGTTTTAATTCCTGTTTAAAACGTGAGAGAAACAAGCAATAACCTAACTTGTTAGAATAGTCAAATGATAGCAAATAGTAAATTAAATGTACAAAAGCCACGATACAGCCGCGCACTGCTGACTGCACTTGTGCGCGGCGGGCCTACAACGTGAGGCAAATATTTGTTTAGTCAGTAGTTATTATTTTTAGCGCGCAAAGAAATGCTGAATAGCGAAACAAATTTTAGGGAAACAAATTTAAAGTTTTATCCTTTATTTTATTGTATCACGTGGGGACCCCCACGGTCGTTTCTTCGACGCTACAGGGGAGCCGCGCACTTCGTGCGCGGCGGGTCATACAACGTATGACAATTATTTTACAATCATAATATAATAATATTTATAAGCCTCCGTTTTGAAAGTTTTAGATTTTAATATATTCACATTTCTATTTAAAATTTAATTCAATGTATAAGTCAATAACTGGCCGCCGAAGCCGCGCATTTTTGAAAACAGGATTCACTTGTTTATTGATACATGTTTCGTATCCCAATATATTCGGCGCGAAAAGTGGCATGCAACGTATGTCAACTTGTTTATGATTATACGACAAATAGAAATAAACTTAAAACTATCCGTGGTTTTTTTTTTAAATAAATTATAATCTTACCTAAATCCAAAGCCAGCTTTGTAAAATTTACTATTAGATCAGGATATATATATCCTGATCTAATATCGTCAATTCTAAATATTTACAATTCAACATTTCATTAATCTACATACAAGCGTACTCCAGCCCCTGCACGCATCCGTTCTTATGCGGCGCGCGGCTCAAGCCGCGCACGCAAGTATTATTTTATACTTTTTGCTTTCTAATAAATATCGTGTCAATGTGTACGTCTAAATATGCATGTTTTATGAATAAGCTGGTTCATGAATAAGCTGATGAATAAGCTGTTAGCTGATTCAATGTTTAAAAAGACACGCTAAGTCAAATAACAAATAAATTTATTTTCATTTCTTTCATTCAACAGTTTTCTCAGATTAAAATAGTGTTTTAGTTAGTAAATAAATTTTTTGTAATGCTCAAAAGTTTAATTTTGAAATTTTTGTATCATTATCTTACTTATAATTTAGATAATTCCCTTTGTATATTTGTACGACCGGCCACGTTGTTAAACGCACGTGCACGTGCAATTGGATTTATTTGAGAGGGGCATTTTGATCGGTTTTGTGGTAATTACGTGGTGTTTAAAGACTTGACTACCAACGAATACTATTAGCTTCCTTTATGTGACCACGGTCTTTCTAGTAATTTTATAAATTTAATTTAAACGCTAAAAATGCAAAATAACAATTTTATAATTTTGCATTTTTATTTTAAATTATATTTGTATAATTTTATAATTAACCAAATTCAATTCAGTGATCTGCTAAAGGTTGCTTTGCATAATATGCAATTTATAACTGATCTTTGGTATACGGATGGCATGGTACCCGTAAATATTTGATTCTGCGACAAAACACTGGGGGTTTGTAAATTGGCCGGGGTTTGTAAATTGTTAGAAGTAAACTGTATAGTTTATTGCACTATTAATGGTTGTTCATTAATTTACTGTGAGAAAACGAGGGAACAAATATTTTATCCACAATGTACGTTTTCCCATGTTAGAGATATTGACATTGTAGTTGTTCTAAATCTATGATATTATTGAGAATGAATTGTTTTAAAGACTCCTAGGAAACAATTGCCATCTCCATTTTAGATTCGATATTGTATTTAAATACACAGATTTATTACTATTCGAACCTAACAGCACAAATACTTGGATCTCGATCGATCCCTATCATGCCCAGTGGCGTAACTTAGGGCCCCGCAGACCCCTCTGTGCGGGGGGGCGCCGTATAAGGGGGGCGCAATTTTCCTGAATTATAGGCCCTTTCACTGAAAAAACGCCTTGTTTGTGTATTTCCCTGTCCAATTTAGCGTTCGGCCGACGCGAAAAAAATATTTGGGTACCCTTTTTTGCTTCAGGGGGCGCAAAAAGCTGTAGGGGGACGAGAAAAAAAGTACCCGACTTTTTTTTTTTTTTTTTTTTTTTTTTTTAGGGACAAAAAATTTTAGGGGGGCGCTTTTCGTCACTGAGCGGGGGGGCGCCAACAAGCAAAGTTTCGCCACTGATCATGCCTTTTACCGGTTTGTTATTCAAATAACCATCGTTCACCACCAGGGCCTGTTTAATTGTCACCTTACTCCAGGGTGATACAGGATCACAGACCATGAGGTTTATGCACCCACCGCACCCTTGCCTCATCAATTCTTGGTTGGATAGACATTTATGCAAATCTGGTCGTTTATACTCCAAGTCCCTTTGTTAAAAACACAAATTTAATTATCTCAGAAGTTAACTTCATTCATTCAGGAGTTAAACTACCGAATAAAAAATGTATTTGAACAAGTTTTGAACCGTTAGAATTTGTAGTCTATTAAAAAAGGGTTTTGTATGCTCCTTTTCAAAGTGTTTATGGCCTAGTTTTTGCATGCCATATTGTCTAATTTGTGTACATGTTGATTGTTTATCTGAATATGAGTCGAGATCACTAAAAATGATTATAACACATTGCTGATAAAGACCGTTCTTCAAGAACAACAACCCAAAATTTGTTGGTGTACTTCCTAAATATTTGTTTCACCTTATTTCCCTTTTGGCAAAAATTTACAATATCCCTCTAAAATTGAACATTCAAAAGCTTATTTTGGTCATGACAACCTCCACCAACAGCGTTGGCCTATACTCTACATATATATATAATATATATATTTTTTTTAATTTAACCAAACATTACATTTACGTTTCACATTATGATGACTAGCAATAAAGAACAAATCTAACATGGTAAAGAAAGAGAAAAATGAAATATTTGAGTTTTTACCATGTTAGAGGACAGTTTGGTAGGATTATTTAGAAAACTTAAAATTTGATACATGTTTTAATGTTAAATGCAATATAAAGTTGCAGGACCCCAGATCTAAAGTAATTTGAATTTAATTCATCTTTTTTTCTTTAAACAGAAACCCTTCCCCTGATTACAATATTCTGTTTAAAATTGGTTTGAATAGTGACATCTTATAACTTACCTTTACCAGGATGTAGCGAGGAGTTAAAATGGGAGAAGTTACGGTGTGGTCCCCATTGGCTTGCATCAAGAATCCCCAGATTGGTTTGTTGTTTTTAATTATTTACCCGTTTGACGTTTGTTTGATACATGATGCTTTTTTTCTATTTATACTTCTCGTTCTCCAGTGTACCAGTACCTACTCAGTTTTGTACATTTTGCATCGAATCAACTGTCAACACTGATTGTTAAGATGCATGTTCCCAAGTGGTTAAAGTTAAAAGCGTGGTTTACTCTTCTACATTTCTTGTCGAGAAACTCTAATTAAATGTGTTGTTTCCATCAGAATGGCAGCTAATATTAGCACCATTTGCAAATAGTTAATTGGATACACAACTGTTATTTCTCATTCTTATTGTCAAGTTGATTGAATTACCAGACGGTTCACAAGACTTGTACATATACGCATAGCGCCTGTAACTTAGTTATTAGTTGCTCATTTGTCAATCGAGTTATTATCATTGCCATGAGGTGAACTATTATAATAAATGTATCAACAGAGATTCTTTGGCACGAGTTACACATTATATAAGAATGTACATGCCATTGTTCAGTCATCAAGCAAAATGTGACTGTTAATTACATTTACCAGCTGTATGTTAAAAGGGCCATTAATTGAACCACTGTAGACCCCAGAACCGGATATAAAATGCAAGCACACAACCCCTGCTGATCTGACACGTGTACCCCACGTGTACCCCACGTGCACCCCACGTGTACCCCACGTGACTGTTTCCGGTTTTCAGGATCTCAAGAGTGTAGAAACTACCTGATAATACCTTGTACACTGCAGTACACTCAGTGTACATACCACGTGATGGTACACACTGAGCCCTCCTACAAATACTCAAATAGTGTACCTGTAACCTGCTGCATGTAGTGCAGTAACCTACTGCATGTAGTGCAGTAACTCATCATCAGCCTATAATTTGACGGCTAATGTTAGAGTTGGCTAGGGTTAATGTTATATAACTTACATCAGATGACCTGGTGAAAGCTCAGACCGTTAAATCAATCTGAAGTCACCCAGATTAACAGTTATCGATGAATTCAGTGACTGCAGTATTGACAGGGGAGCATGGCTGGAGTCACACGGGTTGCACGGTAATGGGCAACTACAGACCTGGCTATTATCTAAAAGTGTGGGGCTTGTATGGGTTCAGTTCAGAGCTGCGGTGTACACTCTCTCTCTCTCTCTCTCTCCCTTTTTGTACCTGTTAACCGTCTTACTACCACGCTGCTAGTTGACCTGATCTACTCTATCAGCTGACTTGTAGTGTATCTTGTAGGATATATTATCTTGTAGGAGAGATTATCTTGTAGGATATATTATCTTGTAGGAGATATTATCTTGTAGGATATATCATCTTGTAGGAGAGATTATCTTGTAGGATATATTATCTTGTAGGAGATATTATCTTGTAGGAGATATTATCTTGTAGGAGATATTATCTTGTAGGAGATATTATCTTGTACGAGATATTATCTTGTAGGAGATATTATCTTGTAGGATATATTATCTTGTAGGAGATATTATCTTGTAGGAGATATCATCTTGTAGGAGATATCATCTTGTAGGAGATATCATCTTGTAGGAGATATTATCTTGTAGGATATATTATCTTGTAGGAGATATTATCTTGTAGGATATATTATCTTGTAGGAGATATTATCTTGTACGAGATATTATCTTGTAGGAGATATTATCTTGTAGGAGATATTATCTTGTAGGAGATATTATCTTGTAGGAGATATTATCTTGTAGGATATATTATCTTGTAGGAGATATTATCTTGTAGGATATATTATCTTGTAGGAGATATTATCTTGTAGGAGATATTATCTTGTAGGAGATATTATCTTGTAGGAGATATTATATTCGGAGTTATTTTAAGATGTAGCCTCGCGTAGAAAGAGAGGCAATCATAGAAGAAGACTCTTTAATCACCGTTCTATGAGTATTGAGTAAGGTTCTTAAAGTCTTTGAAAACCCTGCGGTAATCATTTCATCCGACCAGTGCAACTATAAAATAAATAAGTGCAGGAAAGTAGAAGAGTTTTAAAATAGGCTTGTACAATACAGTTATATAGTGCATCACTATAATATGTCAGACAATTTCCCGAAATAAACAATAAATATTCCTGTATCATTGAGCCCTTGACAGGTGACACCTTAAAAAACTGACAATATTTCAGTTGAGATTGTGATTTAATGTTATTCACCACTGTAATTATATCTCGCTGTGTAACATATTTCATGTTGATTTCCTGCTCTGACTGTATTCTGAATGTAGAATGTGAATGATGAGTCGCTGTTAAGTGCTACATAAAAACCGCTCTTTGTAGACTGCTCTCAGTTTAACAGGATATCCTCAAATTAATTATCCAGCTTATAAAATGCGGACCGGATTATGTTGGAAGCATACAGTTAATACAGTTTTAGACTTGGTTTATATACTGAAGTACTGAAACCACTAATGCTATGACCTGTACCGTAAGAAGTCATTCAATTACCAGACAATGGCCATCCATTCATTTTAATTATCTATAATCTTATTAAGCTTTGTACCTACAGCTTTGTAGTTGATTATCTGCCTAGTTTAATTAAATAAAAGGTACTTAATTAGTAGGCAATGTACGCATTATGTTTTCAGACCACATCTTATTGTGAATATTGGAAAATATCCGAAACACTGGACGTAATGTCGCAGGTAATGACGTCACACCACGTGTTATGACGTCACACCACGTGTTATGACGTCACACCACGTGTTATGACGTCACACCACGTGTTATGACGTCACACCACGTGTTATGACGTCACACCACGTGTTATGACGTCACACCACGTGTTATGACGTCATACCACGTGTTATGACGTCACACCACGTGTTATGACGTCACACCACGTATTATGACGTCACACCACGTGTTGTGACGTCATAACACGTGTTATGACGTCACACCACGTATTATGACGTCACACCACGTGTTGTGACGTCACGTGATAGTGAACCCTTCCCCAACGAGTTACGAGTAGGAATCTGATTAAACTACATTTAGTCGGTACATTTCGAGTAAATTGCGGGTATTAATTCAGTGGATTACGTTGGGTTACCGTGTAGACTGTAGCTACTTGGCATAGGAACGATTTAAGGCAAGTACCTATAACATTATTACATTCCATCATCCGGGGATGCCCTTGAGGAGAGAAGAGAGTGACTTGACCCCACCAGTAATAGTAGGGTTACTTTTACCACACAATACCTGCCCACCATTTATCAAGTTAATCCTCCATTTGTGGGCGGATGTTCCTATTATCCTCCACAATGTGTCGCTATATTATGTGAGCTTTTACTGTCATACATGCCTGCAAAGAGGCGCCAACAACAGAGAACCTAGCTCCAAACTTGGATAGTAAGGAAATGTACAGGTTTATTACTGTCCAGTTTTGCCTCTGGTGTCTAGTGTTCAGATCTTGTAGAAGAGAACCTCTCCCAAACTCCATGTCTCTCCGCTGGTCCCAAACATCGCTAAATTGAATGCTGGATGTTCAGTTCTATTTAGCCTTAGGGGGTTTATTTTTATTTAGGGGGTTTAGTTCTATTTAGGGGGTTTAGTTCTATTTAGGGGGTTTAGTTCTATTTAGGGGGTTTAGTTCTATTTAGGAGGTTTAGTTCCAGGTTTAGTTTTGCTATAGAATTCTTGGTCTTCTGCATACCGGTTTTAAAATGGAGCGTATTAGCGTTTTAAGGCACGTATTTGCATGGACTACTTTTAAAACGGCGCATTCAAAACGGCCCATCTCTGGGGTGGTCAGCAACTCTGATGGCCTGTCGAGTTTCGACGAAGCAGATCAAAGGTATCAAAGGTAAGGTATTTATTTGAAGCTGTTAACACCAGCGATAAAGGTCGCTTCACCACTTTCAATGGAACGTTTCAACAATTACAAACAACTTTGCGACAGAATTATTAGTGGAAAGTTGTTTTACTGAAGCGTTAACATTCTGGGATGCTAATAAAAATTAAACATGTAATAAAATATGTACAGTGATCGTCGGCTTCGTCACCTTCTCAAATGATAATACAATCAGGCTGTCAGGCATCACATTTGAAGTAACAATGCCATAAGTTTAACAGCGTTCCCTTATTTGGAATTATACCAAATGTTTCCAATTTACTATCTGACGTTTTGTTGGCGGCCGATTATCTAGCATTTATGTTTCCATGAATAAAGGAAAAATCTGAGATATTGAACAGTTATATTACTCGCTCATATCGCCGCATATCGTGGGAAACAGAGTTGTTCCAACTTCCCATTTCCAGAAATCACTCTTATTACAGCACAGAGTGAAATAGTGAACGTCAGAGTGAAATAGTGAACTCTTATTATAGCACAGAGTGAAATAGTGAACGTCAGAGTGAAATAGTGAACGTCAGTCTACGTAAAAATTGAAATAGTTCTCAGGAAATAGAACAATATTTCTGCAGAGTTGAGAAGTGTTGCAACAATTTATTAAACGGGTGCCTTCATTATATATATATCCCAAACTTAATGAGAGAGTAATGCGTTGAATAACTCAGTTTCTACCTAACTTATGATTATTAAGTTATTAGATTGAAATGAGACTGGAGTCTGGAGGGAGGGGTTTAGTGAGTGAGTGGAGGGAGGGGTTCAGTGAGTGACTGGACAGAGGGGTTCAGTGAGTGACTGGACAGAGGGGTTCAGTGAGTGACTGGACAGAGGGGTTCAGTGAGTGACTGGACAGAGGGGTTCAGTGAGTGACTGGACAGAGGGGTTCAGTGAGTGACTGGACAGAGGGGTTCAGTGAGTGACTGGAGGGGTTCAGTAAGTGACTGGACAGAGGGGTTCAGTAAGTGACTGGAGGGATTCAGTAAGTGACTGGAGGGGTTCAGTGAGTGACTGGACAGAGGGGTTCAGTAAGTGACTGGAGGGGTTCGGTGAGTGACTGGACAGAGGGGTTCAGTAAGTGACTGGAGGGGTTCAGTAAGTGACTGGAGGGATTCAGTAAGTGACTGGAGGGGTTCAGTAAGTGACTGGAGAGATTCAGTAAGTGACTGGAGGGGTTCAGTGAGTGACTGGACAGAGGGGTTCAGTAAGTGACTGGAGGGGTTCGGTGAGTGACTGGACAGAGGGGTTCAATAAGTGACTGGAGGGGTTCAGTAAGTGACTGGAGGGGTTCGGTGAGTGACTGGACAGAGGGGTTCAGTAAGTGACTGGAGGGGTTCAGTGAGTGACTGGAGCGGTTCAGTAAGTGACTGGACAGAGGGGTTCAGTGAGTGACTGGAGGGGTTCGGTGAGTGACTGGACAGAGGGGTTCAATAAGTGACTGGAGGGGTTCAGTAAGTGACTGGAGGGGTTCAGTGAGTGACTGGAGCGGTTCAGTAAGTGACTGGACAGAGGGGTTCAGTGAGTGACTGGAGGGGTTCGGTGAGTGACTGGACAGAGGGGTTCAATAAGTGACTGGAGGGGTTCAGTAAGTGACTGGAGGGGTTCGGTGAGTGACTGGACAGAGGGGTTTAGTAAGTGACTGGAGGGGTTCAGTAGATTGGACCCACGAGCTCGTGTGTCATTAGACCAGGGATAATTGCAACACATTATATCATTTTTTGGACTTTGGTCGCTTATACGGCCTAAGCGGTATACAAATAAAGCGTTATTATTATTATTATTATTATTAGCGTGTAGAATATATAGTTTATGTGCTCATTATGCATTTATGCTGCTAAAGTGCTTTACGTGCAAAGATTTAAAAGCTCTTTAAATCTGTAACCGCTACTGTTTCAGCGTTAAGCAGATTCGGGCACCGCTCACAGTGAGCTGCAATATCTTATTAAGCAGATTCGGGCACCGCTCACAGTGAGCTGCAATATCTTATTAAGCAGATTCGGGCACCGCTCACAGTGAGCTGCAATATCTTATTAAGCAGATTCGGGCACCGCTCACAGTGAGCTGCAATATCTTATTAAGTAGGTTCGGGCACCGCTCACAGTGAGCTGCAATATCTTATTAAGCAGATTCGGGCACCGCTCACAGTGAGCTGCAATATCTTATTAAGGAGGTTCGGGCACCGCTCACAGTGAGCTGCAATATCTTATTAAGCAGGTTCGGGCACCGCTCACAGTGAGCTGCAATATCTTATTAAGCAGGTTCGGGCACCGCTCACAGTGAGCTGCAATATCTTATTAAGCAGGTTCGGGCACCGCTCACAGTGAGCTGCAATATCTTATTAAGCAGGTTCGGGCACCGCTCACAGTGAGCTGCAATATCTTATTAAGCAGGTTCGGGCACCGCTCACAGTGAGCTGCAATATCTTATTAAGTAGGTTCGGGCACCGCTCACAGTGAGCTGCGATATCTTATTAAGCAGATTCGGGTACCGCTCACGCCTCACAGCTATAGTGAGCTGCAATATCTTATAATATTTTCATTTACGATATATAATAATAGTGAAATATATTACGGAGATCTCGACTGTATTTATCAGTATATTGAGCACGCGAACTTATTAATTACGAAGATGTCTATGAAATAAGCAAGCAGCTGTCGTGAGGTGTAAACATAGCACGTGACTTCTTTACCGTCACGTGACTTCTTTATCACTGTGTAAATGTTAACATGCTCATTTCTTCTATAATGCAAATTGTGGTTCTCAAGCATTCTCACGGACATAAAGATATGTCTGAGATATGTATCAAGATATGTCTGAGATATGCATATCAAGATATAGGAGATATACATACCAAGAAATGGGAGTTATATTATACCGAGAAATGGTCGGTAAGTAAGGAGTGAAACCTCAATAAGTTTCCAAACTTCAGGTCAACTCCCTACACTCCTGATAAGAGTAACGTGTAAGTGAGTTTACTGTAAACGTTAAATAATAGCTCAAGTAATCGGCCAAACCGGAGATACTGGCCAATAATTTACAGATTTAGTGAGCGGCCGCTCTTCTGTAAGCGACATTTAATGACAAACACACATGTCAAACACTGTGTCATCCTACCTTTAAATGAGATGGTTCTAGAATCTAGAAGTTACAATATATTGCGAAACTTCTAGAACAAATCACGAGTACAAATCAGGAGTACAAATCACTGATATTACCATCCATCTTATCAGAATATTGAGCGATGAAATTGTATTATTTTACTCGTCAGGTTTTATTCTCTTGATGATGAGTGATGAGGTCTCTACAAAAACTTGTAAAAAACACGTACAGTGTACACCTATAATATATATGTATGTAAAAGTGTATTAAAACATCCAGACTTGGTTATGATAACATCACAGATCTTTACTTTGCTTCTATACTAAAAGTTAAAACTACTACTTTAAAACTATTAGTTTTAAACCAATGAACTGGGCAGGATATCGTGGTTCAAGTTTTACATTTTTGCTGCCCTGCCTATTTTAACCATATTTTAACCTGATTAGTTGAACTTATTCTCAAGACGAAGGTCCAGCAAAAAGTAAATTGCCTCATCTTACGTCTTGTTTGCCCAAGTCTAATATCCTGACACACTTGCCATTTACTAGATACATTTCACTGCAATCGGAGAGTGATTTTATGGTGTTTTTAGTCTTCTGCTAACTGAAAATATATGTATGTCAGATCATGATCACTGTGTACCTGTATGTCGAAAAAAGCTTATTAAATGTCATATGATACAGATAACGATGAAATATAGAAATCTCTTTTATGAGGTAGGTATGTTTGATTCAATGAGGCATGAAGATGAGAACATTGTGGGATCACACGAACAACTGTTGCCAATTTGCATCTCCAGCTATTATGCTATATCGCTAATAATATAGTATATATTTATTTACTATATTATTAGCGATGAAAGTTCACACCTTCCCTGGACGGCACTCAAAAAACTTGATGATGTATTTCTTGATTTCAACTCAACTTTCTGTGTTTCCAATCTATTTTTAGCATCATCCACATACAATGTCAGTTGTGGATACTCGGATAGGCTTCAAACTTACAGCCTATAATACAGGCTGAACACAGTGCACTGGTTAATTAACCGACCTACTAATGTGTGTAGTCAAACCTTTTAAACAGGCATTTACCTGCCAGTAAAAGAGTAAAACAGCACACACATGCGAAGACATGATCACAGGGCACTGCACGGGTTATACCAAATATGGGCATCTCCATAATAAGAAGTAGTGTACGGTATACCATCACTAATGGTACTCCGCCTTTTCTTTCCCCCTTGTTGTCTCTCTTGCGTGGTCGGTCAACATCTTTCTGTTCGTTTCAGTTGCCTTTATATTTAATCTCCTTTTATTTAATCTCCTGCTCGAAGATTGTAAAAAATTGGTATTTAGTGCTATTCTTGTTCCAGACGAATCAATTTATTCGACTGGTATAAGAAATACGGTAAAATATTCCGTAAATACGGTAAGATATTCAGTAAATATGTTAAGTTCAATAAGTTAATTGCTTTGGAATTTGGCTGCTACTCTATTTAGCTACGGTACTAAAATAGTACTGCCATGCTTGCATCTGTAAAACTCATACCCTTTAAACAATCAAACCGTCACAAAATGTCACCCGATGTCACGTTCATTGCAAGGGGTCAATTAGCAAATCCTCCCTTCATTCCTATTATAAATTAAAACCCTTTTATAAAACCACGCCCTGTATTCTGTAAATGTAAATGTGACTAAAGTATGTGTCTAAGAGGATAAAGTGCCCATGTCACCATTGAAATGTGTCCATCACGATTTGTTCAGCCTCTACAAATGTGATTAATTAGACTGGTGCTCTGAGCTCCCAGCAGAACATTGATCCCTACTGCAAGTGTGTAATATAATAATGTGTTATCTGTTGGTATGGTAGCCAGGATACCCCGTATCATTCAACAGACTGACCGGCGTTATCAGGAGATCACTGTTTACATTGATCAGGTGAAACAATGGGTCTCTTGTGAGGATGAAAGAATTCGATACTTATACGCTGATTATTGTGTTTGGGAGGTCCCTAAATTGGAGTTCTATTATATTACATTTCAGAACTGAACGTAGCCCTGGTGATATTGAATTCGTCGCTCACTGAGACTCAGGACAAATTAAAGAGCCTTTGGAAGACTGGTGAGTCCCATTTAGCGTTCTAATAAATCTGTAATATCCAGTTGCAACGGTAAAATATGCCATTTCATTTTAGATCCAATCTTTTATTTCCTGAAATTTGTCTACTCTTCAACATTGAAGCAAGCATGGTTATATGAAATCCCTTCGTCCGTATATGGTATAAACTATCGTGGGCTTAGGTCTTTCCATCTCGTGAATTTCTTATGGCACAAAATTTGAAGGTCAAATGAGCGTTTGTTTCGTTTTTTATATGAAATAATTGTACTGTTACCCTAATGAACAACTTATTGAAAGATTTAGCGCGGCTATCATGAGTCAACTAATGGTAGAGCTTCTGGCGACTCAAATTAATCCTTTTGTACGGAACCCGCAAAACTCTTTTTGTACGCCAAGACGGCAGCAGTCCTTTTTGTGCGGGAACGCGCAAACGGTGCGCGCAAAGTTTAGGAAAACATCAACAGCATGGTAGGCTTTTAGGTTTTAATTTATAGGCAATACATACAGAATGTTTCTCCAAAAGGTACACACAAATATGGAAGAGGAATCAGGGCCTACAAATAATCTCCTTCACGTTTCAACTCATCCCCCTCCCCCACAATCATCGAATATTCAGTTTTTATCATTTAACCCAATTTAAGTTAATTGCCAGTCTTCCAGCTGCCCGACAAGTTTTGTATGGATCTTACATAAAATTATTCATCGTTATTTTGTAGTTCCATTTGGCATTTGGCCAAACTTTCTTTAAAGACTGTGACATTCGATACTTTTCCTAATTTGTTTTCTGTAAACTAGTAGTTTGCTCATCTATCAATATTTCAGCTAGATTTCATATTTGTGCTGACGGTGGCGCAAATAAACTTTACCAAACATGCGGGGCCGACAAAAGGTTTGTAATCTAGAATAGACCAGATAGAAAGATATAAATAGAGAGTTGAGAGTTTCCTGAAGTGACCAATCAAATTAGTTAATTAGTTGATTGCTGTCACGTGTTAAACAAATAAATTAAATTTTGAAGAACACATATTTTAAAGACTCCCCAATGAAAAAAGAAGAATGTCATTGAAATTACAAATAAACCCATTTCCCAGTTTCACACCAGAATACATTGCTGGTGATTTAGACAGTGTTTATAAAGACGTTTTGCTCCATTATGAAAAGATGGTAAGTGAAATATTTGAAGTTTTCGAGATATCTTGTTTCACTGTCCAGCATATCTATTTGAGGGTACGCATAATAAAGGGTATAGGGATCATGGGACATAGCTTAAATAGCTATTGACAATTTTTAGCTATTGTATGATTTTCATGCTTAACAGGGATCAAAGATCGCCAAGTTTAACGACCAGAACTCGACTGATTTTGAGAAGTGTCTGAAGCTGATTTCGAAACACGAGAAACTAACAGCCGAACAGTTTGATGTCATCTATGTCCTCGGTAAATCATTAAACATTTTTAACTTGCCAACAACTGGATTTCACTTTTTTTTCCAAGCTATTGTTTAGTAGCTTTGACTTTAAACCAAAACAAACTTTAATTTAAAAATCTTCCTCCTATTAAACCGTGATGAAGCTAAAATTACAAAACTTGTTCAGGATCGCACGGAGGTCGGCTGGATCAGAGCCTGGCTATCCTGAACACACTTTACAAACACACCAAGACGAATGAGACTCCTCTCTTCCTCATCGCCCAAGACACCCTGACCTTCATTCTGCCCCCTGGACGACACAAGATATACGTTAACACGGGGCTGGAGGGCTCCTTCTGTGGACTCATACCCTTGGGCGAGTCTTGTCGATGTATTTCCACTACTGGACTAGCTTACAACCTCAGTGAGTCGGGTTTTCTAGATAAATGTATTTGACTACCTCGCCAGTCGCCAGTAAGGTGGTGTACTACCATGTAAGAAGGTGTACTACTAATAGTCGCATCATCCAATTTGCTGTATCCTTTACAGTTGCATAATTCCTTTTGTAACTGGTATGGTTGTTTTGAATGTTAATTTCGGTATAAAATTTTACCTTACCTATTTTCAACCAATAAGCCAATCTTCTGTAAGATTGGACCAATGTCAGCCACTACACTCCATTTCACGGTTACTTACCTTAACGAACCGCAGGTAAACACCACTTGATGTTTGGAAGTCAGATATCATCCAACAACTCATTCGACGGATCGGATTTCGTGACTGTCGATACCTCAGACTATATCCTATGGACTATGAGTACTTTATAAGTGTTATAAAGTTAGGACTTCCATTATAATATACAGTTTTAACGTTAATTACTAAAAGTGCGGTTCTTTGGACTCTGACAGTTGTCGAATGTTAATCGAGGGACAGATTAATTGTTTTAACATTACCGCTTTTTATTCTTTTTTCGTTTGTTATTTGAAATATTTATTGATGTTTACAGTTACGAGCCATCTTCATTGTTGATACGTTTCCGATTAATGAAGTTATTTATCGTTAATTAATGAAATATGACGTTAAAAAACGTTAAGGCAAGTCTTTTCGGTTAAGATTATTGATTATTCGGTAAACGAAAACCTGGTTCATCAGTTTTTGTTATTAACTTACAGTTACAGTTTATTGAAATACGCTTTCGAAGCAGCAGGGTCGGCGTAATCATTTAATCCAACTGATTACACGCATGACTTTATGATATGATGACATGAAAATATTACAAGCAAATCTTCCAAGAAGGTGTTTTGTGATGCACTTTGAAGGGTTCGGTTTAAATCACAAAACTTTTTCGATCAATATTCATTACGTACTCAGCCTACCAGTACGATTATCAGTTTTATGTTGCAACAAATATTATCAATCAAATAACAAAGAAAACGATTAAATTATTTGTGAGTATACATATTCTGCTTAATTGGAGTTCTTTTAATTTAAACGTCTATTTCTTTTGCCTTGAATAGCAATACTGTTGAGTGAAAATTTGGGTCGTATTGAATTTTTCTGTCTTGTTCCACGATACTTGTACAAATTAAAATAGGACTCCGATTTGTCTAAAATGAGGTGCTCTCTTAAAGATAGAGATTATATGTTTCAACAGCCGTAAACATGCTAACCTGGGGAAACCATATCAGCAAAATTCCTGAACTTGATCAGTTTACGTCACATAGGTAAAAGTAGAAGAAAAATGGGTGTTTTACTGTACATGTACTTTTTCTAGTTAAGAAAGTAAATTACAACACATGTTTTCTAATCTGATCTGCTTTAAAACAGAATTCAATTTAGCTTTAGAAGACGTTCACCTATTACGTAGTCACTTTTTGGGCAATTTTTAACCCCCCCCCCCCCCCCCCCCTCCGTAATCAGTTTTACACATAGCTATTGTATCAAAATTACACTAGCGTAATCATTTAGAAACCCCACCCTCGGTGATTACGTAATATGTGAACGACCCCTTAGCAACAAAATACATTTACATTGAATCAAGTTCACACATTTGTCTACCTTGTATCTGATCTAAAGTCTACATAATAATACATTATTAGTTTACCTCAACTTCAAATTCGGATTTAAAGCAAATATTTAATATATATCACATGAGCATTGGACCTGTTTTGGGTCATAACAAATTACAAATAAATTACAAATATACAATTATTACAGATCAACCTACAGTTGATATATTGTATATTACAGCCTTATTAAATGGCACAGAAACTGTTGTACTTGTGAAAATAAGATTATTATTAAGGACCTCATGTACATTTCAAAACGTAGATTGCCCACCAATTTCTCAACAGATTCTCAGAGGTATATATAATTATAAGGGCTACTCCCAAACAATTTTCGTTCAAATCGGGCCGTAGTCCGTACGGCATTTTGCAATTTTAGTAAAAATTAAATATTTTTTGCTCTACCTTCGGAGTACCCCTAACCCCAGACCCAAATTGACCAAACACAGGTATATGATGTTGGAAATTATAAAGATTTTCATCCCCAGAAGGGTCCAGGAAACCTTATTTTGGCTTTTGAAAGTTTTTATCCAATAAAAAGGGGTTTTCAAAACCCCATTTCAGCCATTTTAAAGTAGAGCCCCTGTTTATCAGGATGGTGTAGCGTTGATGGCAGAATATTTCAGTTCAACCAAAATTGATAAAATTTATCCGATAATAAAGAAAACGAAATAAAGACGGTAATCTCACAATATAAGTTTCCAAATATAAGACTAATTTAATCTCAAATGTTTTACACTCTTACGAAGGCTCTCGTGATGTGGTTTTAAAAATGCAAGCCTCATAGTGTGCTTCCCTTCGTGTCCAAATACAACACAGTTTCTCGATATAATATTTAATTTTAAAACATCTTTACATAGCTCAGCTCTCTGTTCCTCAAGACAGTATCCTCAATAACAATTACTGATATGGGTCTAGTCTTAAAATTGGCTCCCTGCCAAACTGTGAATTAGTTCTGAACAATGGCACAGTGCCATGCTCGATCATTTAATCAGCTCTGAACGATGGAGCCGATATCCCTCCCGTCTGTACTCTTTTTGAAGTAAATCTGGTTGATATGCTGAGTCTTGGTACTGGTTGAGGGCCACTGCTCCCCTCGCATCTTCCTCCTGAGGAAGGGACCCAAAATACCGCTTGATCTTTGTATGAACTGAAAGAAAACGTCTGTTAGATCTAATTTGTCGAAACTACTCGTGTTGTCGGTAGTTATAAAATTATTGCAATTTATAAAACCTTCTTAACGTCGCTTATACATTATACTAATACTTATAGTTATACTATTTAGTGCTTGGCACTCGGAGTTTCTCCAAGCGTAAAAAGGATTTATTGCTATAATAAACAGACAGAGTCATGCAGCAGAAATTATTAGATATAATACCTCAATCTTGTTTAAAATGTCTAATAAAAACTACCTCGTATCGGATGTGCTGTTGTCGGGCAGCATACAATATTGGGTTGATAGCACTTGGTAGGTAGTGGAGGTTGCTGAGAATCAGAAGCAGTTTGAAGGATGGCACCAGCTCCACGCCGTACTTAGCTAAGATCTGGGGAGAGACGACATAATATTAAATTAATTTCTCGTGTTTATGTTTAACCTTCAGAAAACTGTCATCTCGTATTAGACATGAGAACACCAGATATATACGTTGTTGCGACATGACAGGACATGAGACATGTTAGATGAAGATTTAGCAGTTTAATGGGCATATTGGCAGCTATGATTATGAACTGTATAACTAGCTGTAGACTGTATAACTGACTCGATATAAAACGAACAAGGTTGTTAAATACGTCAAATTTTCGTGAAAGAATACGACGTATTCGGTTCTAATAAAGAATACGTCTTAATACGCCGGAATACGGTAATTTCTATGGATTGTTAAATACGTCCACGAATACGCCATAATACGCCGTAATACGCTGATTTGTCAAAATTAAACATTACAGCTGCGCGCCACCCTCATCATTGATCATGCATTAAAGGAGTGCAGTTATACATGATAACTTAAATTTGTAATCAAATTTCATGGATAATCGTAACAGGCACGTAGACAGGGGGGGGGGCTAGGGGGGCGGCGGCGGCCCCCCACCCCCCCCCCCCCCCCCCCGGAAAAAATCGAACCCCAGAAAAAAGATAAGCCCCCTAGTCCCCATAGTCGCCTGGTAACTGGGCTGTGTTTATGACTGCAGTCAGTCAAAGATTTGAACTGTGGATTAGTAAATATCTGTCATAACATCCAAGCAAACATTCTAAGATTCTAGAAGACTTCTATAAATAGTCAATAGTGTCCCCTAGACCGTAGGAAATGTAAAAATCTTAAGACGATGAGGCCTGAGTAAGTCGTAAATTCTGATTGGAGAATGCAGATTGCTGTTGTGAAGTTACCAAATTTACGTGAGTACTTGATTCTTTTCAATCCCAGTTTATTGCTGTCCTACAAATTTCTTTAATGCCAAATGTCGTCTAAAACACCCTGCTTCGCAAAAATTTTCCGGGGGCTGCGCCCCCCCTAGCCCCCGCCAAGGGGCTCCGCCCCTGGACCCCGCTGGGGGCTGCGCCCCCAGACCCCTGCCACAGCTTGCTCGCTTCGCTCGCTGCGCAGCTGCATTGGACACGTCTGCTCGCTTCGCTCGCCGACAGCCCCCCTCAAAGAAAAATCCTGGCTACGTCCCTGAATCGTAATACGTCAATTTTCGAGGAGGAATACGTATTCGTATTCCAATACGTATTCCCTCCTAATACGTATTTAACAACCTTGAAAACGAAATCGTTGGTCTCGGTCAAACAAATATTTAATACTTAAATAATAATTTAGATAAATAAAGATCAAATTAAATGGTCAATAAATATGTCAGATAAAATCCTCCCAAAATCAGTGCCACTGTCAAGTTTATATAAATTTACTTCAAATTACTCTGAAGTAAATAAAGTCTGTTAAGTAGTCCCCCTGACAAGATGTATTCTGATATTGGTTATATTTTATTTTGGTCAGCACAAGTCTAGATGTCGTGGAAACCTATTTCAGTACCTGATAGATAATGTCGAGGAGTGAGGTAGGAAGCCAAGCTCCGAGAAAGACCATCAGAATAATGAACATGGTTCCTGCTGCTTTGGTGGCGTACTTGTTCGGCATCATCCGTTCTGCCTGGGATGCCTGTAACGTTACCATGGTTACTTGACTGTAACGTTACCATGGTTACTTGACTGTAACGTTACCATGGTTACTTGACTGTAACGTTACCATGGTTACTTGACTGTAACGTTACCATGGTTACTTGACTGTAACGTTACCATGGTTACTTGACTGTAACGTTACCATGGTTACTTGACTGTAACGTTACCATGGTTACTTGACTGTAACGTTACCATGGTTACTTGACTGTAACGTTACCATGGTTACTTGACTGTAACGTTACCATGGTTACTTGACTGATTTACACATGTAAATCAAACGTTAGATTGTGTCCCGGGATTATTAGTCAACAGTGCAGTGTGATTCAATGTGTGGTGAGTGCTAATCGGTTACCGAAAACCTTTTAATTCATTACACATAACAAAGCAGCTCTTTTACCTTTGAACTGCAGATGAACCTAGCCACACGGTTTGAATTTGACTATTTGGATATTGGCCAACAGCTGTAGTATTTACTTTTAATGGGTAAACTAATGGGTAAACTAGGGTGGTGTCTGTAATAATACTTGAGCTGTAATAATACTTGAGTGATCCCAACTACGTTGCCGAATTAATTTAAACTGTTCCAGAGCTGTTAGACGAGTTCTCACAGCAACAGATTACATTTTATATAATAACCGCCGTTGTGCAACCAAATTAAATGAGCTGTTTGGAAATTTATCAAGACCGTTCCTCCTTAAGCTGCATCACGGATCAATATTTACCTCAACTGTCAACCATAGCTCTAAAAAGCTCCTTTCTGCAGATTGGGTAATAGCTAGCAGCTTGATTGAGATGGCAGTGCAACTGCAACTGTTGAGTCACTAGTCAGGACATAACCATTAACCAAGTGGTGACGCTATATTTTTCAATCAAATCGACGCTTTTCCAAATAACAGCATTTATGACAAGACGCCAATTTAGTATATTGCATTGTCAGGACATATCTAAATATGAGTAAACACATGACAATATGCCACTTTCGTTGCAACTGGTCGATCAAAGTCAGGGTTTGAGTATACAAATTTGCACATTAACCAAGTGGTGACGCTATATTTTTCAATCAAATCGATGCTTTTCCAAATAACAGCATTTATGACAAGACGCCAATTTAGTATATTGCATTGTCAGGACGGATCTAAATATGAGTAAACACATGACAATATGCCACTTTCGTTGCAACTGGTCGATCAAAGTCAGGGTTTAAGTATACAATTACAAATTTGCAGACAGATCAGAACGAAATAAAGAGAAATAAACCTTGATGGGGTTGATATGACCCTTGGAGGGGGAGGCGGTGTCCTTAGACCCATGACTGCTAGGAGTGTTGGGGAAGGAGTAGCTCCGGCACGTCTTCAAGTGCTTCTGTGTAGTCCTCACTATGGTTGCGTAACATACCACCATTATGAGGAACAGGAGACCTCTGTACACGTACTGTATGAGTTGGGGGGTCAGGAATCCGGAGTGATTAACACAGATTCAGACTCAGTCTGAATCAGACACAGTGGTCAGTGGTGCAAAACGTATGAGACGAAATATTGAGTTCATTATCGAAAGTTCACAATCTCCGAAGTTTGCATGTTACTTATATTAAGACTTAAATGGCTGTTGATTAATCAAAGCAAAATAAGTGTATGCATCAGGTTGCTTATGCTATGTGTAATTCTATCAATCGAGGAAAAACCGAAGAAAAATACAAAGATTATGGGATTCAATTAAAAAACCAACCTGAGCAATACTAATATAGTTGTTTATCTGGTTGGGTACCATGTTAAGGATACAAGTGTAAAGGAACGGAGCGTAGAAACACTCGTTGAACACAAAAACTGGAACAGATAATCCTCCCAGCACCAACCACGTCACAATAACAATTGCATTTGCCTTCCGAATCGTCATCGTCCCTCTGGTAAATTGTAACGGTAGTACGACTCTTGTCCGGATCATTTTAACTAAATATATTTTTCCACGCCGAATTTATCAGTTTCATTTGAAAATGCAATCAGAATCTGTATCAACAAAGGAAGTAAAAACCGAATGACGGATCTCACCTGTAACGGAACGGGAAGTGTATGAGGATAAAAGCGTCGAGAGCAATGAATGTGAGAAGGATGTAAGCCACCAGGTTGGTAACAAAAGAGAGGTAAGTGTGTACCGAACACCACAATCCACCACCGAGCCATTCTCCTCCTAGCGCACTGAAATTGTAGCACTTGTTTATCTGTACATCTGTACAAATTGTGCACATATTTGAATAGCCTTGGTCCGGTCCGTACTCACCTACTGGGCGGCGGTCAGTCTATCATTCCGCCGCAGCTTCAGTGTTTATGAACATTATAGCCTGGGGACCCCAGGTAAATTTCATCCACGCCGCTGTGGCTATGGAGTCTGTAAGTGTATTACTATTATATCAAAGTCTGTATTAATATTATATCAAAGTTTCGATAATGGAATTGCTTTTAAATTGTCTACGAAACTTGTGACAGCTTCTCATTCTATTACGATCACGAAATTTACGTTGACCAGTCACAGACCATATGTCTTTGTTGTAAATGCGATGTCATGAGAATTTGCAAAAGTTTGCAGGTAAATAAGCATCTGAATCATAATTTGACAATCTAATCACTGTCAACTTATTTCTATTGAAAGTTAAAGATTATTTGACAAAGTAGGGAGACAATTAAAATTCTGACATGAACAATTTCGCTAGCTGAAAGCGAGCTGAATCTGTATCGTCGCTGCTAAGCTGTCAGCAAAGTGTTTTACGAACAAATGTTTTTATGAAGAAGTAACAGTATCCCCATTACATTTAACGAGCATGCTTCACGTTAATCCACCCCAACTCATGTCACAGGAAGCCTATTAGTGTTTGAAGACCCTTGTCTCTATATACTTATAGCGCATAAATCGCACTTATATATAACGACAGTACTAATACTATATAACGACAGTTTCGCAATATATTTTTATCGTAATACAGCGTGAGAACCCAGAATTTAAAATAAATTTTGATTCTGGGGCAATTTAATTGTATATACCTGATGGCGTTGGTGATGATTCTGGGGCAATTTAATTGTACATACCTGATGGCGTTGGTGATGACGATTGGGCCACCGATGATTAAGTCCACGAAGGCGAGATGTCCGATAAGGCAGTTACTGACTGTTCTCAGAGATTTCCTGATGAGGATGATGCCGATTGTTGCCAAGTTCCCGGAAACACTGAGCAAGGCACAGATGACAAAGTACACACCGCACCAATAGTCTGCCAACATAACTAGACCTGGGTAAGTGAACTTGTTAGACGCTTGCAGCATCAGAGTGTACCAATGAATAATATCGAAAAATCGTTATATTAAGATTTAAGAAGCTGTCAAGACATTTTCATGTGGCCCATTTTGTTATTTATACTAATGCCGTCTGTTAATGACGCCCTCGGGCCTTGGTCCCTGACTAAACTTGGCCCTTTACTATAAGCTTCTTATTAAGTTGCTTACACATGAAGAAGACTGCCACCACCAGGGCAAATCATGCTGATTCTTTGAACCTGGTCACGGAGACTACACATTCTCTCCAAAAATAGCACACACGTTTCACTGAAGGTTCAGGGTTTCAAAAACTTAGACGCCTGAACTTGCTGAGTTTGACTGTCAGGTTGTGATTGTACTGTTTACATTTGCCTTTAACACGAGTAACGACCGTTCTTTTGCTCAGAAGAGAATCAGCCGAGGTGTACAATATACACACAGTGTACACTGTACATGGTTTATCTTCCTGACGGTTTCTGTACATTTGCTTGCTTGTTTGTCTGTCTGTAACATTGTTAATCGATCCTTCTAGTTATACTTGAGTTATACGTTTTCATATTATTAATATCAAGACATTTACTGTTGATTCCTATTAAATAGGTATACCTATTAAAAGTGTGTATCATAATTGTGATCCTATAAGTTGTCCAATTTCGATTGATTGGAAGCCTTGCAATTATGCAATATTAAATTTGCATTAACACCAGCGAACCTGCAGTAAACTGAAACACTACATGAACAAGACAATCACGATCGTAACGGTAGTCAGCCACAAAAACCTTGATTGTACGTGACGGACTCCCGGTAAACCCGCAATGATTTGCAACCTATGCCTCGAAAGTTAATATCACATATAAAACTAAAAGTTATATAAAACTAATCCTATATCAGACAAATATTATTAAAATTGGACGGGCGACGCACAAACCGTGGATACTAAAAGGCAGCAATGTGCATGCGATCGCAAAAATAAACTGTATATACTATCGCGTATTATTTGTCAACGTAGTGATGAAAATGATCAATTGGACGGTACGAATGAATGAGAATAATTTTGGGGTTCTTGCCAGTTGCATTGCATGATCAAATGGAACAATGTCAATAAACTTTCTCCGGCCCCTGTACTGACCTTCTGATTATAATCATTGTTGGGCCGGGGTTCATGGCTATGCCTACGAGACCCAAGTCCAATTCCATGCATGATTAAATGAAACCATGAACTTTTTCATTCTGTATTGGCCACCTGACTATAATAATCGTACAATCTTTGAAATTATTCGAGCTCTGTAGGGATTTGGGGACTGAGGACGTTTTGAAAACTGGTCTGGAAAGTTTGATATTTTTATAAAAAGATCTATCACAGCATTTAACAGTAAATTTGTAACAATGCTCCAAACTAATTAGCGAGACGAATCAGTTTCACTGGCAATTTTTATTGGGGTCTGGTCGATGATCAGGGTTGGGGACCTCGGCGTTAATTCATATACGAGCTCTTTAAAAAAGTTGTTAATAAACGAATTGTCTGATTTTTAATGTGCAATGGGGCAATAATTGTCGGAATTTTCATAGGTGTAATCGTATAGAAAAAAAGCCTGAAGTGACTGTCCGTAAACAGTTGATAAATTAAAGTATCTTACACATGTTTTTCATCTGTTGGGTCAGCAATCAGCATGGTCTATTCTCGTTCAGCTAATTGAATCAAGGCAGTAAGGTAGTACGTTTTCATGAAAAGTCGGGTGAGATGTGCCGAGAGCGGGAATTGAACCCACGACCTTCGGGAGCTGAACTAGAATAGACCATGCTGACCCACCAGATGAAATATATGCTTGCATAGTTGCAACCTTGGATTCCTTGGAGTCCTTGGACCTGGATTCGTCGGCTACTTAAACATGGCATGAAATACGGCTGTGGCTAAGAATCCAACTCCCAGTAATCTTACACATGTTACATTTACAACAAGACAGAAATGAAGAGAGGTAAATATTCATATGATTAAATTAACGCAACCGTGATTAATGTTCGAGTGGACTAATTACATCGGGCGGGGATGCGAGGATGTCAATATAGTGTTGCCTGATATAAGTAATACTATAAGGGGCGATGGCTACACTGTTCACAACTTTGATAGTGCTATAGTGGTTTACTAGGTTACACAAGTGACAAGATGTTCATGGTAATACTTATGAAGTAATAAGTAGTGTTAGAAAAAGTAAATGAACATTTTCAGTTGTTATGTAACCTAACTATGACCGGCCATTGGAAACAGTAGTAAGACAATTGCTCAATTTAATTATGAAGTAGGACGGAAGAATTGTTTAATTCAGAGTGAAGTAATACACAGTTATTAAAAACGTGTGATTGGCGCCATTCGGTCTGAAACAGTATTCACGTTCGGCAGTTTGACGCGCGCCATAATTTAGTTCCGGATGTGTTTCGGTGTGTCATACATTAAAAAAAAGTACAATGCGTCACCTGATCTGTGCGCGTTGAGCACACACGTGACACGTGGGCTCCATTCTCAATGGAACTCTTCGGATTCCGTTACACGCCTCAGTTTCAGTATCATTAGCAATTTGATGATTGTTTATTTTCTTATCTTATCTCATTTTGCTGAACATTTAATGCGAATCGGAGGTATTCATTTCCATTAGTATTGAGTATATAGCACGATCAGAAAGTCCCTTATCCTCATATCTCTTATCTATCAATAAGCCGTACCGTGTAGAATGCGACTTGATTCACTTTGGCAGGTTATCTTATATCACTAATCAGAATCGGATAAAGCTTACAGATCACCGAAAGGTCGAACTCTTTTTAATTGCTCCTAATTTTTAATCTGATGAACCACCGGTGCTTTTTATTTGTCACCGAATGCTTAAAATTCAACTTATTTAGACGATACCGGATTTTGCAATATTGGTGTCCAAGATAAGACTCAGATCTTTGCTGAACAAGAAATGATTTTATAATGTGTGATCGATATCAACGTTAATTAGTTTCCGAAAGTTAGAAATACACTGATAGTAGAATTCAACAATAGAAAAGATTGCGTTGTATAAATATTTGTTTAAAGGAATTTCCGTGTTGTTAAATGGGTGTAGACTGTAGAGTCTTTTTTGATTGTTGGTATCGGTGTTTGCGAGTGTGACTTTCTTCATTGTGATAATGTGAACTTTATGAACTTATTTTCGTTGTAATAGTCTCTTTGTGATATGATGTAACTTTAGCTCTGGGATAAGCAGAGTATATGTTACGTTGATTGTTTTATTAATGTTTCGAATCTAGAGAAATAAAATTTAATTTTGACAGTGAATCGATAGACTTCAGCTAGCGATCGCCAGACCAGGCCAATTATTTAGAAAACGTACGAATTTGTTTTTTCCTTCAAAAATTTGAAAAGTTTGGTCCGTCAAACCAGCTACCAGTACTTTGTTCGAAGATAAACCGCTTTTTCGAATATAATACGCAAATGAAAGGTTATGGAGCGAACAATCAAATATCGATTCGCTCTCGTTAACATCACCATTAAATCACCTGAAAATAAGACGTTGAAAAATGAAGGCATGAAATGAACTAGAACGGTCGAAAAGTTTAAAAGTGCATATCGCCGGAATGTTGCCGGAAGACTTAGATTGATCGTCTGATCCAAAGCGCATAATATTTTACTTTAAACTGATTTGATTCATGAAACGCACCGACATCTATGTCATATGTTGATTTAATTTTAAGCGGCGTTCACGGTTCATTTCGAAAACGATGTCTGTGGCCTGTGCTAAGGTCAGTATTCTCTTTTGAAAACCAACAACCTATCATAATCAGCATGTATTAATTCTGCGTACCTGTCCACTTATACTAAGCCTGAATATTAATTAACCTGGTATATTTCGTGAATAATTGTGAACGTGCAAAGCATTGCTTTGGTATCCTATAATCTCCTTGTCCACATCATGATCATTTCGATCAACCTCGCGTCCGTGGCTATGGCCTATGCTTAACTTAACAGATTATCCTGGTATCGTCTGACATGGACATGGACATGGACAATCACGAACACTGTATTTATTCGGTGGTTACATATAATCTCATCTAAACCATTGGCCTCAGGTCGGTCACAGCATGGCGCACAAAATCAAACCAATCTCAATGTTAACTGCGAAGTCTGGACAGTTATACACTCCGCAAAGTCTGAGCACAATGTGTTTCATATAATTTTCAAGAAATTTCCGATTGGCCTTGGCAAAGTTTAAGTGCTTTCAAGCGACTCCCAACGTTAAGATTGTGATTTGGTCAATATCAGATATATTATAATCTTTTAAAATTGATGGTAATCATTTTTATGCCTCATTGTTCGGATATTCCAATAAACTCCCTATTAATAATAAATAATAATAATAATTACTTCCATGTAGCATATCCAATAATAAAATGCTCATATTTTAGGATCAGAAGTATTATATTTTCAAATGTCGAGCATCTGTGCCAGCAAACCAAATCAAACCACAGTATGGTGTGACGATTTTGAAGTAAGTATCATAAAAAGTTAATTTTCAAAAGATTGAAGTTATCACAATAACAATGTTGCAATTGTTGATAACAGCAAAATATGATAATGATATATAAATTGTTAACAATTTTCCAGGCTGAAACTTTGAATAACATTTGTTTTTAAGTAAGCTGGAGAATTCGATAAGACTATGTCTACGAGGGTACGAATTGTCTGAATTCGGGAAGCGAAATTATGGAATAACTTATACCATTCAGTGAACTCTCGGGTTTTATGCTCCAGCCGTAATATTTAGTAGATCTCCGTCATATCTCGTAGATTTGACAGCCAAGTTATCATATGCGTAATAGCATGAACTGATATGCACATGATCCGACAGGAAGACGACATGAGGCAAGTGACAGTGAAAGGCTCCTTGGTACGTTACTCAGTGTTCGTCTGTAAACTCGGTTGCAAGGTACATTCATACTTCTTCATTCTCACTTGGCTTGAAACAAATGTGTGTACCAATTTAAGGCAATGTTTTATGATTATTATAACATATGTATGATATTTTAATCAAGGTTATGTACCATTGTCCAGATCATCAATCATGATTTGTATTTCGTTTCTATACTAAGGAAAATCTAAATTTTGGTTCAAGAGAGGCATAGGACATTCACCTCGGAGTGAATATCCATGTTGATCCAATAGCTCTCTTGCATTGCATGAGTATACCTTTGGCTTTTTTACATGGGGTTTTGATGTGTTCGACTGTTCGTTTGTTATCGAGTGATACTCCTAAACACTAACTGGAACTGTTCATCTCTAATTCTTTTCCGTTCACTGTCAGAGGTTCTGAGAATTCCCATTTCCTCCTCAATGTGAACATTACGGAATGTATCTTTAGTGTCCTCGGTTTCAGCCCGTTGTTAGTGCACCAGGCCATGATGGCTCCAAAAATTTTCTGCGTCATCTCTCTAAGATGATCAGCATCAAAGCCTTTGTTACCACTTGTGGCCGGTCCCTCTAACGTGGCTAAGAGAGCAACGTCATCCGCGAACCCTTGCAGATCTCATGGGATCTTGTCTCTGGTGTACGACAGGAGATTGTCAACCAACAGACTCCATTGAAATGGAGACAAGATTCCACCTTGCGGACATCCTTTTCTTATAGTAAGGGGGAAATCCAAGGGGAATTTTGGGGAATGCCTTAATAGATTTTGGAAAACCCCCATAATTAAGTCAAACATAATTCCCCAAAATTACCCAAAATTATTTTAAATATTAATTGTGGTCAACAGTTCATGTTTACACAAACCAGTTTCAGTTCATAGTTCACCCACAGTTCATTAAATGTTTTAATTGAAATTTTAGTAAATAAGACCAAAACAACAAATTTTAAGACTCAACAAATTTCTGAACCGTTGCCCTTCTAATGACTTTTAGCTTTTAAATTTGTATATTCTTCTTTATTATTATATATTGTCTTGAGCAAGGGGTGTAGGAAGCGGGGGGCAGGGGGGCCAACGCCCCCATAAAATCTGGGCAAAGGGGCCAACTTTTTAATTTAGGTTTCTACAAATTTTGGGAAACATTTTTTTTTCGGTTTTTTTGTTTTTTTACCGAAAAAAAATTAAAAATTTCCACAGTTTTCTTAGAAACTAATTTTTTTGATGTTTCATCCTACCCATATCATTATGAGCCGAAAATATTTGTTCGGTTTTCCGTTTTCGAAGTCCGCACCTGCCCTACGATATACGATTTTGGACTCGAGGGCCAGGGTTGCCCTTTGTAATGCGATCTCGGAAGGCAGGCCTCCCCTTTGCAATACGAGCTCGGAAGCGGGAGCTCTGCCTTCAGAGGTACGCATCGAGCATGACTCGAAGTCAAAATTTTTCTGGAAACTACTTTTGTTCATGTTTCATGCTACCCTGATCATTCTGAGCGATGCTTTTTACTTTTTGACACATAATCACTAATCAGGGGAACTATACTGGGGGTAGCAACTCAATATGTGAACGACTATGTGAACGACTCCTAATGGATTTTTTGCATCCGTTATTTCCACATTAGTGGTTATATTACGGAGCAGAGGGTTGTACATTGTACAATATGGACAAAAATTCAGTGCAATGTTTTCACTATTATCCTGGCCCTTACTGCCAAGTTACGAGAAAAAACGAATCAATTATTTAGAAATGAAAGTTGAAACCGAAAAGCGGAGCCACTATACTTAGCTTAGCTCATTTTATCTTGTGACAAATTAATTCCCACACATTGCTTTCGCCTTGATGATCGATCACCTTAAAATCTAATAAATCGATATATCGAAAAATTTCTCCCGACACTGAGCGTTAAGCAAGGTACCCAATTAAAAAACTCACAGCTTCTGGACCGGAAATAATATTTCTATTTTTTAGAAACGAACTCCAATTTAACACCTTACAGTTGCGAGAAATATTTATAAATATGCGAAACATAGCTTTCGTAGAACTTGGTTGTCGTTTCAGAAGCTTTTGCTCACCAATAAATATAATCATTAAAATCAAATCACGATACGAACTGAAACTCCCAATTTTGTTAATAATTAAATTTTTAGACACTCAAACTTTCATAGACAGACTGTACTAGTACACTGTATGTTTTGGATTCAGGGAAATTTTCAAACCAATCATAATTGTGTTAAAACGATTTTTTTCCACCGATTTTTTAAACAATGAAACACCGCGAAGAAACGGAGAGAAAACGTTAAAAATTTTACCGAAGTTCTGACTCTGTGGTAATGGTCGATATACAGAATATAAACCAATTTGTTGTCGGTTCGAACCCGGCTGAGGGCAACAAAACCACACTCCACATTCTAGCTGATTAACAGTACGCTTTAATCTGGTATAAATAATCCATACTAAACAACCAACAAAAATCAAATAAAAGTAAAATAACGGAAACAAAACATGGTTTAGTTTCTGTTTTGACACCTAATAGTGCTGTCACTGCGAATATGGTGCGTCTGGTGAACTTTATAATTTCAGCTGTCATTTAATATTAATATATGTCACTGTATACTGCTGTCACTAACTAGTGCTGTCACTGTATACTGCTGTCGCTAAATAGTGCGGTTAACGGTGAAAATTTAAACCAGATTGTTGTGATTACTACAAAAGATTATGAAAATTAAATATTCTTTGCTATATCGACTGATTATATAATTCGGCTAAACAGTTGTCCATAAATAATTGCACATTGGCCCTTGTTTGCGAAAAATTTTGAAATAATTACTAAAATTATCAATGCTCACGCTGGAGTCAAACAAATCAATATATTTGTTTCGCTCAAAAATAAAATAATTAAAGTGTCGCAGAGCTTAGTTGGTGACAGAAATCATCTTGACATTTGGCAAGTAATTATCTAGCCATGAGAATCATTTAATATATGTGCGAGGCTCTACTATCGTTAAACTAGTTTGGTTAAATCAAGATTCTGAAAAATCCAAATGTGCCTAATTTTCTTAATTCTGAATAAAATAAAACTCCGATTTACGGCAGACTTTAGGGAAAGGAAAAACCCGCGGTAGATCAAGTTTTGCGGTAAATCGGAATTTGCGATAAATCGGGGCTTTACTGTAATTCTAAAAATAACTATTAATGTTATCATGGTTATGATCGTCCAGACAATTTGAGCTGCAAAATAATTTGTTCCACTTCATATCAAGTTCTATATGCTAGACATCGGCCTGTTGAGATTTAACAGCACCAGCAAACTGAACAACCAGTCACTCACTAAAACTAAAGGTGTTGTTGCGCAATCTGCTGCATTGTCCAGCCTGAACTGTCACCAATAGAAATACAGCGTCATTACTTAAACACTACGGCATCATTACTTAGACTCGTACTGGGTTCTTTATAAATGGCGTTGTAAATTATTACTCCACTCTCGCCCTTGTGACACAGTTCAGTAGCCACTTTGATCCTCGAAATCACCGTTAATACTTGATTCTGCGGAGGGATCAGGTACTAAGTGCCGTCGACTATGACGACCAAGTGCAGTTTTGGAATTTACAAGGTAAAATGGGGTTTTTTGGGGTTGGACATCCCCTTTCCATGTACTAAATGTTTTTCTGGGAAATGAGCAGCAGACCCACCACTTAAGCTTAGTACACAAGTACTAACTGCGTTTTGGAAGAAAATATGACCCACCCACCCAACGTCACGTACGATTCTGGCCTTATGATCCCCCCCCCTCCCCTAATTCTGCTGAGCCAAGTGCAGCTTTGTTAATGCAACTCACGGATAGATGGCGAACACTTCTCATAAGTATTATGTATGTTTCAATAATCCTAAAAATAATTTCCTGAAAAATTCTTTATTATACAATGCTCTCGATTGGTTCCAAAATTATAAAATCTCTTTGAATTAACAAGAATCAACCACGCTCCTCGCATGACTTCAGTGGTAAGAGTTGCTAACTTGAGATTGAGCTCAGAGCTGTCACCTATCGGCTGACTCAAGGTATCAATTCAACTATCTACCTAGGGGTTATAATTTGACAGATTGAAAATCTCGTGTTCCACAGAACTGTCGTTCTCTGGAACATGTTCGGGAGCCGATACCGAGCTAGGGGAGCATTTAAACCCTATGTGGTGTACTTGTAGGGGTGAATCAGCCTTCGAAAATACATCAAACCAGGTTGGTTTCAATTGTCAGGAGCCCTTTTAGAACAAGAAATGCGGCCGCCTTTCTTTTGTGGATGGCCGCTCAATTTCCCGATCCGTGATTGAGTATTTGATCATATTCCATACCACCTGGGGACCCCAGTCTTTACTGTTTATAAGCATGCAGATATGGCGGAGTGACAGGCCGAGCGCCGCCCAGTTGATATAATTCCATATTTAATTTGAAAATCGTGTATATTTCTATGTAACCATATGTTTATTGTTTATGCAACCTGACACGGATCTGTGCAAAATAGTAATACTAGCTCAAAATAATAATACTATGCTATCAATTAGTCCTTAGCGGGATGCGTACATGGTGAAATTAACAATGTACTTGAACATTTCAGCACCGCGCTCCAACAAATGTTTAATTCAGATTTTCGCGCAAAATAACTTTGCGCAGGCAGACACGTGGGCGACACCTACGGTCGCAGGCAGGCACGCAGGTACGGTCGCACGGACGAAAGCTACCATATACAAAAAAAAACCTCGTTCGCTAACCCTTGTCCTTGACTCTTTTGTGCCTTCGGCACTTTGAGTCATGGATCGGGAAAAAATCTCGAAGATCGCGTCGACTATATAGAGTGATTTAGCCCGCTCGGGCGAAAAACATTGTAGGGGATAGCATATTGAGCCTCCGGCCGGAAAACTTAGAAATCAACTTGATTATCAAATATAACTGAAGAGCCATAAACTACGAAATATATCAGCTCAAGTTCTCACCTAATGGTTATTTGTTAAATTACCTTGCCCCGAATAATCTGAACAAATACGACTCGGACGACGAGAGTATGGTTACAGAGTTTAATGAAGAGGCAGTTAGATTTACTGACGAATCAGATGAAGAAGACATTGCGTAGGGTAGGATGCGTTAATTTACGAATCTGACACTAAAAAACAATTTTTAAAACTTCGAAAAAAAATCCCGGCCAAAATTCGGCATTTTCGGAATCCCGGTCCCGGCCGATTTTTGACCGGGACCGGGATTAAGCCGGGATCCCGGTCGAACCTAGCACGTGCGCCACACTTTCTACTTAAAATGATTACTGGGACAACTAGATTGTAGGAAATTTTTTTTTAAAAGGCTGGGCCTGGTTGGCCCACGAGAGGACACTGATAGCATATGGATACTTTGCCTTCCTCTGGGCCGTCTGGGGTATGACAGTCCTGTGGGAGGATGCCGGTGGAATCAAGATGTGTATCAAGGATGATGGTAAGTGTTGTGGGGTGTGTCATAGATGAACGCTGAAGTGGTGGTTGAGTGTGGAAGAGAGAGGCGAAATAAGACAGCGTTAAAGTAGTCGCTATGTTACACCGGTCTGGTCCAATTCCTCTGGCACCATTAATCGTTTAGTGTGGTTAGCAACTTTGACGATGATGTCCACGCAGATTCTTAAAACGACCACGTGTCTTAACTACGCTAAACAGTAAAACGTGTTCGATAAATCTCATTAAAATTTAGTTATAAAACTATTTAAAGTCCATTAAACATTGGCAAATTAAAGACCGCAAGGAACCGGTTATTTAAAAATCTAACCTGTATCTTCAAAAAGAGATGATACCTGTCACTAGAACTGCGCAATCATTGCCATCTTAAGACAGTCGTTTTCCGAACGTCTATGATGCTGATGGGGTCAGTCATACTGTCATTTAATGGAAATTATAATATTACAGCATTCAGAATTACTGTCAATGTCAAGCTTATTGGATGAGTTGAGAAAAGTTTTAATGTGCAGACAACTTAAATGCAGGTATGATTCAATTCGTGGCGCTACATTCAAATACAATGAAACCCTTTCTACACGGGGCTCCTCGGGTGAAATGAAATTAGAAAAGTGCCCAGTTTAGAATGGTTTAGATGATCTGATCCCGATCCTTAGCTTCTCAAATAATATGCCACGTTATATGAACGTATCGTGTCATATTGTGATGGAATAAAGCTCGATATGTACTCGCGTCACCATCAAATGCGTTGTGAGTTATGATAAATCCCATATCTTGCACAAACTGGTAAAAACAATAAATAAAACTACTAAGCTTCCATTCACGGCATAGTTACCTGGACTGGCTGGATCTCGCAGATAGAACTGAAAGATACACAGTGTATAATTGTTGCCCCGAACTTGCAAAACACGAGCTAGTCGATAAACAATTTTGTGGAAATGAAGAGGCCCGGTATATCAGAGTATGGAATCACATTTTTAGGAAAACGCGCTCTTAGGAATGATCAATGAATTGTAGCAGTAAATAATATAAATTGTAACAGAATTTAGTTACATATTTTGTTAGTTCAAACATTCTTTTAGTTGAATAATCGAACGAAGGAGTTTTATTATCGACCTAATCGCACTAAAACTACAAGTGACATTTATTGTATTGTATTGATATGTGCAAAACATCATACTATAAACCCAAGAGTGCAATAAGCGAACATAATATCACTGCTAGTGCTACTAACTGCAAATGTGTATTACTAACAGTCTAACTAAACTGCAAATAACTTAGCTGCAGATACTCTTTTCGTGCGTAGTAGTTTTGCCAGACTTGACAGAATATTTTCTTGTAAATGTTTGTCGAGACACGCTTCACCCAATAGCTTGTCTTGCATTGTGAAGTGGTAATAGATTGTAACACTTAACAGTTTAGTTAGTTAAGTTTCTTATGAATATTAACATAGTGAGATTATATTCGAACTATAAATAATTTCTCTTCAATTTTGATACTTGGTCTGATTAGTCTGATTAGTGGATAGGCAATAGTGATGAGTGGTACAGCCCCTCAGCACTGAGGGGGCTTGTAACACTGTGCTAACTTTATCTTTGTCTTGGTCACACCAATGAGTGACCAACTTTTTTGGCCCTCAATGTTAGTCGTTGGATAATGGATATATACTGTTTTATTTATCACTGAATATCTTCAGATCACGGAAGACGATCTGTCAGCGGCGATATCAGAGTTTCTCGTCAACAATAGCTGGAACTCTACGGAGATTACGACTGTTAAGATTTGCAGAACCAAGAGTGGCGTCAGTAAAGGGTTAGTCGCGACATTTGCTCTCTCTCACTCTTCCGCCGACAATAATCTAATTTGTCAAAAAATGTCAATCACAAGATGTCAAGAATTTTTATTACTAGTTAAATTTTGAAGTTTCGTTATTAAAACTCTTGGCATATTAAATTATTAATATATATAGTTATAATATAGTTATATTTGGATTTTATCCAAGTCTCTACTCATAAATGGTCACTGTTTAACAGTGTTACTGTTTATCATCCTGCTCACAAGATTACCTGTTTACCTGGTTACCTGGTTACCTGGTTACCTGTTACCTGTTACCTGGTTACCTGGTTACCTGGTTACCTGGTTACCTGGTTACCTGGTTACCTGGTTACCTGGTTATCTGACGTGTAGCAGTGAGTTTAATATTCAAGATAATATCTTTGGAATAATGGATGCCATATTGATCAACAAAGTTTCCCGACCGTCCACTCTCTTTGGGTACTATAGGCAGGCGCTATAACAGTCAATGGAACACAATTATGTTTGAGAAAACTATATAATGTTCTTTACTGGTTTCCACCTAGCAACAAGCCTATTCCTTAGGTCCTCCGACTTCTAGTCAATACCATCGCGATGCATCGATGTTAAGTACGCCGAAAAACCGGTCGAGAATACGCCGTTTGTCAAAATTCTAAGAAATAAAAATTTTCTGAGGAATTGAAAATTGAGAGTCCACAGCTTTGACTATGAAAATAGAGGTCCTCATTTGGAGTATCCATCAAAAATAGTGTGCCGACAAATTCTATCGAGTTTATAAATTCGGTACTAGATTACCTCGGGCGTCCCTGTAACCAATATTTCCGGTATTAATATTCGGGTGTTAATGGACAATAGTCTGTCTTATTGAGTTTTAACATAGGCCAGCCAAACCTTTTAGCACCTTAGATTTATCGTTTCCTCGGTTCGAGGCAATTAAACCATACTTTGACTTTCGAGATGGTGGAGAGACTGTACTTTATTTCGCGTTTTATTGGAAAGGATGGCTAATGAGTTTATTAATAGAGAGGGAGTTGCTATATGGGGATGGGTAATGAGTTTATTAAAGAAAGGTCATACCCAAGAGAGATTTTATTTGATTCCTCTGGCACAATCTCACGAACATTCAGCTATAATTAGGTTATTTCGGTATAATTTCAAAATAAATCAAGTATTCTGAGAGATTGATCTCTTAGTTGTAATAAATGAGTTTTTTCCTTACAAACTTCACCTTATGTCCGAAAACATTTTGCAATTTGAGATATTGCAGCGGATTTCAAAAATAATTGGATTATTTAACCACTTTCAAATGGTTCTCCATCAAGAAAGGTTTAGTTGGCAAGTGCCCAAAAATACAATTTTGTTATCGGCGCTGATAATCGCTTATTGGGCGCCTAAAAGGTAATATTATGCAAACCTTCTAAAAATTGTATACAATATTCAGAAAATTAATAGAGACGTTAAGATACTGGTAATCTTGTTTTGCTCTTATGAGTGGGTCAATCATTTATTTTTAATTGTAGTTGACGAAATGAGAGTCTCCACTCAGTGTGTATTATATATTGGGCGCTTTTTCGCTGAGTGGAGACTCTCATTTCGTCAACTACAATTTAAAAAAAAGAGACGTTAAGACATGGAAATGACCAACAATTTAAAATTAAATGGTTTTTAGTTAAATTATCCCAACAATATTATTGAAAATTTAGGAAGTTTACCTAATTTAAGGTAGTTGATAGCTTTAAAGTATATGATATATAAAAGTCTCAATAGAGTACATGATAAACTTGACAAAAAGTCTCAGAGAATACGAATGTTAAACGAAAATTACGTGAGATGATGGTCTTATCAATCATTACGTCAGCAGATGAACCATGATATACTAACCATGTCACAATAGTTTGAAACTCAGTAGTAATGAGCCTATTCATCACACAATCTCCCTTCAGGTACGGGTTTATTGAACTTGATGACGACGAGGCTTGTGCTGCACTTATTGATCAGGTATGGTTTAAACTCTCCAAACATTCCAGAACTATGGGATCACTAAGTGACTTTAGGTTAGAAAACGTCGGACAAAATCCTCTTACTAGTTAAGTAGTCAAAAGTAAAACGATAGTTTTTATAGTTTTCACTACTAAAGCTAGAGTTGTACACCGTTTATAACTCCTGGAGCTTGGACACAGCTCACAGAAAGAGCAATTCTTCTACTTTTACTGAAGATTTTTTTAGATTCAGACAGCAATCATCATAACGTTAAGTTAACGAAATTTTTTAACGTCCACAAATATATATTACATCGTTCTGTAAAGGCACCTGTCTCTATTTTACATAATGAAATATTGAGATCAATATAAATATTTTATCAGAAGTCTCTGAAGATAGGAAGTAGAGATGTGACGCTCAGTGAGGCGGTCAGAAAACACCCTGAAGAAATGGTGCTCGTAAGTTAATTATCTCTTTCAATTAATGAGAACAATATGTAATGTATAAGATATATGTTATGTTTTAGTAGTGACGACGATATCTATCACCTGTTGAATAAAAATGATAAAACTCTTCCGAAGAAAGGATACTTGTCTGAACAATTAATCAGGATAATACAATTTTTGAAAGTAACCACTCACATATTCTTATATGTGTTACTTCATAGTTTATCATCATACTATAGCTAATAATTTCAAAAGTAGAAACGTGTGGAGAAAGAAACTTGTCCTAGTAATTAATTTAAAGGATCATAAAAGTTTTAAAATGGCCGCTACACACGTCCTTGTATCTGTTATATATCATGTTTTATCAACAACTACTTATTTCAGAGGAAGGAACACGTTGAACTTGCTTCAAGAAACAAAAGAAGGACCAGTAAGTCCTCCGACGAGAATTCAGAGGTAAGTTATGATAAGATATTTCACAACACAATGTATTGCTGCGTTGATAGTTGTCATGACGACCGTTAGATGCATGTAGAACTCGGATCGCTGTCATTTGTAACTGACAACACGGTCTTTAACCTGGCTGAAAGTTGGCAGTCGGGTTGCACAGATCAAATCATCGTCAACTAGACTGCCAACTACCCATTTAATCTTGTTACGACTGACGGGGGAATTTAAAGTTGATAAGATTATCATACAATCGTTAATTATGACATGATTTTAGTTATTAAGGACCATGTCAATTTAAAATTTGAATCGACGTCTGTCTTGAGACTTTGTGTCATACGATTCTTTTCTCCCGCAATTATAAGGTCAACAAAATAAACTGATTGATTGGGAACTGGGTTTTACTACCCCAGTTAATGTTTACTAAAATAGATATTGAACAGCAATTTAATAAGATAAAAATCGTACCAGCGTGCTTTAAAATCTGTATGATTCATGAAATTAAAAGTAGCTATGACCATTAAGAGTTAAATATATTGTTTATATTCCCCATCATGGACTAGTGGCTCAACAAAACTGCGTCGGAAACTGAATCAGTTAAATAGAGGAAGTGAGTTGACTATGGAATTTAATTAAGGTTGATAAGATCTGCATTCGGCATGCAATTGCTAAATTCGGCATAATTTCATTAAATATGTCGATTTGATATTTAAATCAGTGTCTGGTTTATTAAAAAGAATGATCGCGTTTAAGACGATTTTTTTATCATGCAATTTTAAAGTTTGCAAAATAAGACAATTGGATGTGCAATGTGCATTTGGTTACATACCAAATACGCCGCGTAGTTTATTTTCAACCATATATTACTGAGAAAAGCTTTAAAATCTTCGAATTACATTTTTAATAAAAAGTAAGACTTAGTTTCAAATGAAAGGTTTGATGTATAAGCGGTAAATTAGAGATAACCCCTAATATAACCCCTAATATAATAACTACGCCAGCGAAAATTTTCATCGTGAAAATTAACAATAGTTTATTGAATTAGTCAGGAAAATTGATAACATGTCTTCACTGACGTGTCCTCCTCAATCCTAATGATTTCATCTTCAATTTCCATAGTCAATGGGTTTCCTACTGCGTAATACTGTATCTTGTTTTTTTGGGGCATCGATGAAAAAAACATACTTCCAGAAATCCAGATATCTTACTATATATAAATCGGATGCTATACTACTATTATCCAGGACTATTATCCAGGACTATTATGGACGATAAAATAAAAAATTTGTCAAGGAATATGAATTTTAGGTCCCGAAACTTGGACGAAGTGGTGTCAAAATCACAAAATAAATATATATTGTTGTCTCTTGACAACAAACCATTGAATTGCAACTGCATTCCGGTATCAATATCATGGCTTTACCTTTTGTGACTTAATAACTGACTCTTTCAATCAAAGTAAAAAAATAAGTATTTAATTAAACATTTAGATTTTAAAGAAAGTAAAATATTTTCAAAATATAAAATGTTCGTTGAAAATGTTTCACTCTAGCTCTGTATAGTACTGCGTTTGAGATTCATTAACCACCACATCGTACGAGTATAGTTCTACTTTTCATTTACTGCACCTATCTATGTTGAAATGAGTACTTTATTTATGTGCAACCTAAACTTTCTGTAGTATTTAAAGCGCAATTCACCGAGCCCATCGTATATTTTAATGTGTACCTCCACAAAATATGAGTATAACTACATATAAATACAATTTTTTTTGCTGCGAGGGTTTAATCAATGCAGCGTGTACCAAATAAAGGGGTTCAAAGTAGCGGAGCAACGGAGTAGTTTCAAGAACCTTTTATTATAATATACTAACTTCTTTCATTCAATCAGGGACAAAGTTGTTTAGTTGTGGTGTATTTGAACTGTTAAAAATGTATACCTAGCCAAAGTCACATTCTAAATCAGTCGAAAGCTGTGATGCTAATTGCTAATGGAGGTCTACCCGAAGTTATTTGCACCCAGACGAACATCTAATAGTATAGTAGTAGTCGGAACAAGGTGGGTTATAGGGTTAAGGGGGGGGGGGGTTCACCTTGATTTCAGGGTGAACCCCCCCCCCCCCCCCCCCCTTAGGCTAATCTGAAGATTAACTCCTTGCGAAATAACATTTGACAAGTCACCAGATCAATCAAATTATTTGTGCAGTTTTAAAGCCAGGGTCCACTGCCAGTTGTTAGAATTTTAGATCATTTGTGAAATTGTAGTGAGCTTGAGCGGGCTCACAAATGCTTGACTTTTAATTATTCTATGCTAGTATTTAGTCGAGGAGGGCAGCGGAAGAGGCATGATGAATCATGATCATAAATATCGTAGTATATATCCCTGATAGTATCATATGATTTGATTTGATTTGAAACTTTTACAAATAGTACATATACAATACAGCAAATAAAATTTAAAATAAACGACATCATGAGGTATTATGCTGTGTAAAAGTCGTAGACCATATTGTAGAAATACTAAAAGCAAGGGTAAGTGGTACAAGTTCTGGGGGTATACGTATTACAGGTAATATTTCTACCCCCAGACTCACTAACACCACCTCCATCTATAGAACAGACCATCGTCAGAGGCTAAAATGTGGGAATTCTCTATCTAATCACAATAATCAAGATTTAGTAACGGTGACTATAGCATCTTTCGCTGGAGGTGGGTTTTACGACTGAGTGAGGGTGATTTCTAGATTAGAACTGGTCGATGAGAGCCCAATGTATTGGAAGGAACTCTTTCAAATACAACTAGCTCCTGAGCAATGTTTTGGTAGTAACTGCAATGTTTTGGTAGTAACTGCAACACTGAACACCTTGGTAGTAACCGCAACACTGAACACCTTGGTAGTAACCGCATTAAACTTAAAAGTGGAACTTTAGGTGGAAGTTCCGAACATCTCTCCACCCACTGACTATGAAACGCCAATATATCAATAATAACTGAGAGATAGTGAGTATGATAACATTGCACCACCTCTATAATAACTATTACACGAAGTAATCATCGTTAAAGATCGGTTTCACAACTGCAACTACTAAGCAGATTTAACTAAATCAACGGCAAACTGTGATGAATTATTCGCAATTCAGTGGCAAAGCTTCGGACAAAGAAATCTTTGAACACAACTGCGTAAATTTAATCTTTCCTTCGCTTTTGTATTGAAGTAAATTTGCCATCAATTTAGTAAAACTACTGCAACAATGATAAACTCTTCGTTTAGAGGACCACCAAAGAGTGATGTCTAGCTCTTTATACCGATATAGAATGGTATAGTGGTTAAAATTGTTGAAATAGTTGAAATTGTTGAACTTTATTACAAGACGCGCCCTGTTGAAGTATTTAACTGTAAGAGTTGAGACACAGTTAATAAACTGCGGAGTGACTAAAATGCTATACAGCAAAAAAAAATCGTGTGACATAAAATTAGGCGGAGACGACATTATGCCCCAGAATTGGGAATGACCGGATATCCGGCTGAATCCGGTTCCGGTCGGATATCCAGATTTAATATCCGGTTTCAGTTCCGGTCCGGTTTAGAAGATTCTTGGCCGGATATCAACCGCAAAAATTTTTTTTTTGAAAAGTTGATAATGGATATTCAGGTAACATTCCGGGTCCTCACAGTCTGATCCCGAAACCTGAGAGCATGTCTCGAAATATGATGCAGGGCAAATAGGCCACATGTCGGGTCCTTAGCTAGGGTCACCTGGTCCAATGACGTGAGGTGCACGAAATCGAAATTTTCAAATCTTTAAGGATACATCTTTTAATTTTCTGACATCTAGCAACCAGGTCGGACATTTTTTAAATTGGTCAGTAAAACTTAAATTCTCCTGTTTGCCACTCAGTTCCGGTCTGGCAAACAGGAAAATAAAATGATATCCTCATGGAGTTGGCCGATGCCTCTTTTAAGCTCGAGATCTACGACAACCTTTAGAAGGCAGGAGAAATAATGGCAGCACTCAATAGTAAAAAAATCATATATAATCATATATAATTGTACAACATCTTGTCAGATTTTTAGAGTAGAAAACGTGTGATGGGGAAAAAAACATTTTGAGATTTTTTTTTCTTTTATGAGGTAACATGGGGGCGGGAATCGGTCACGAGGGCGAATGACCCAAGGGTGGAAGTTTCCTAAAAGGTTGGAAACGAGGGCGAAAGACACAACATCACTAAGAAATTTCATTAATTTTCAGAAAAAATTCTCGAGGGCTACTAGGTCCTGAAAAAATATTTTCGGCTCATAATGATCAGGGTAACATGAAGACTGGAGAAAAATGATCTCCAGGAAAAATTGCAAAATGTTTGAAATATATACAATTAAAAGTAAATTATGTGACGTTGCAGGTTTTGTAGTATTACTAGTCCAAAATTTAGGACGGTGTATATTTCCATGATAACTTCCGCCCTTGTGTCATGTGATCGACTTTCGGCCTTGTGTCATGTGTCCAACATTTTAGGAAACTTCGTGTTAGCAACTGAATTTTAAGCAACCATATTTAACCTGAATTTTAAGCAACCATATTTAACCTGAATTTTAAGCAACCATATTTAACCTGAATTTTAAGCAACCATATTTAACCTGAATTTTAAGCAACCATATTTAACCTGAATTTTAAGCAACCATATTTAACCTGAATTTTAAGCAACCATATTTAACCTGAATTTTAAGCAACCATATTTAACCTGAATTTTAAGCAACCATATTTAACCTGAATTTTAAGCAACCATATTTAACCTGAATTTTAAGCAACCATATTTAACCTGAATTTTAAGCAACCATATTTAACCTGAATTTTAAGCAACCATATTTAACCTGAATTTTAAGCAACCATATTTAACCTGAATTTTAAGCAACCATGTTTAACCTGAATTTTAAGCAACCATATTTAACCTGAATTTTAAGCAACCGTATTTAACCTGAATTTTAAGCAACCATATTTAACCTGAATTTTAAGCAACCATATTTAACCTGAATTTTAAGCAACCATATTTAACCTGAATTTTAAGCAACCATATTTAACCTGAATTTTAAGCAACCATATTTAACCTGAATTTTAAGCAACCATATTTAACCTGAATTTTAAGCAACCATATTTAACCTGAATTTTAAGCAACCATATTTAACCTGAATTTTAAGCAACCATATTTAACCTGAATTTTAAGCAACCATATTTAACCTGAATTTTAAGCAACCATATTTAACCTGAATTTTAAGCAACCATATTTAACCTGAATTTTAAGCAACCATATTTAACCTGAATTTTAAGCAACCATATTTAACCTGAATTTTAAGCAACCATATTTAACCTGAATTTTAAGCAACCATATTTAACCTGAATTTTAAGCAACCATATTTAACCTGAATTTTAAGCAACCATATTTAACCTGAATTTTAAGCAACCATATTTAACCTGAATTTTAAGCAACCATATTTAACCTGAATTTTAATACAGAAACTTGCAAGTTGCAGCTTCTCAGGAAGAGCTAATTGGTGAAATGAATGGCTAACTAGTTTCTAACAGCCTGTTTTACAAGATTTTCTTTGTCTATAGAGTTACGAGGTCCTCAAAGTGATTTAAATTTGGCTGATCATTCATGGTAAACATTTAGTCGAGTTACATCCCCTGTTCGAAAAACTAAGTTCTGCCTAATGGAGTTTGTCCGTTATCCAGTTCCCTATTCCAACCTCACAAGAGTAACTTGCTACAAGTATTGCTCGTGCATAAGGTTGAACACTTACTTAATGCTTATGGATCCACTTCGTTTAACACAGACCAATACAAATACGACTTTATAAACCACAATTACAGTTGAGAAACAGTTGACCATGAACAAATGCATTAAAATAAATGATTCTGTCTAGAGATTGCATTAGACCAAATGATTCTGGGATAGTTCACGCTAAACAGCTCAAAATACCTTTTAAAAGTGTTTTTATAAACATGTTCAATTTGATAAACTCATGAGAAACTTCTTTTTTTCTGAACAAATATGTTCACAATTTCAATAATAGCCATATTTCTGTAAAATCATGAAGCAATACTGTTTAACCAATAACCATATAAGTGAAATAAAACGCCAAACTAAAAGGTAATTAAATTGTAAATTAAACTTTGAAGAGCTGTCGAAATACTTAATTTTGACAGCTCTGTGTCAAAAGCGATTCTCAATCTTTAGTTTATTGCATTCGTGAACCGCTCGAACAGTAGCTTTGCCAAGAAACTGCTTGACAGTGCCAAAAATACAGGGTGGGCCAAAAGTCAGTACCCATACGTTGGCCTTTATAGCTCAGTCACTGAGTGCCAAATTGAAATAATTCTTTCTGGTATGACTTAAAAAATATTCGAATTTTCAAATTTTGGTGACGGAATCCTCGAACAAGTAGGTACAGTATGCCATCTACAAAGCAACAACTCTCAAGTATAAAAGACGGCGAAGGTATATAAGACCCAACATATGGGTACTGACTTTTGGCCCACCCTGTACATAAACGAAAAAAGGTATCGACAAATGTATATTATAATCTCCAGTTCTACAAAAGAAGTGAAAACTTGTTCAGAAGATTTAAACTACTCTGTAAATGCTAATTTGATAAACTCTCCGGTTAAGGAAAATTAAAATCTTATTCATAGTTTCTAAAATGCATAAAATTTCAGAGATGCCAGGTTTCAAGTTGTCAGTACGGAGAGGAGCACGGCTGCGTACCTAAAGGAGCCCCCCTGGTGATGAGTCCAGTACCTAACTACCCCACCACTGCTCCAACCTCCCCAATACTCCTCCCACAACAACACCTCTTCCAACCTTCCTCCCTCACCATGATCCAACAATCTGGCGGCATCATGCCAACCAACAGGCTCGTCACTTCCTCCGCAATGATGCAACCAAGTGGTATGATGTCCACCATGGTGACCCCAGCGGTCATGTCCCCCGTAGCCAGTTTACAGAACATGATCTCCCCGGAACAGGGCGGCTCCTCTCTTATCGGCAGCTCATCGCCCCTTTTATATCAAGGTTTGTAGCTCATCGCCCCTTTTATATCAAGGTTTGTAGCTCATCGCCCCTTTTATATCAAGGTTTGTAGCTCATCGCCCCTTTTATATCAAGGTTTGTAGCTCATCGCCCCTTTTATATCAAGGTTTGTAGCTTTATTAGAATTATTTAATGATTCATTTCTTAGTTAGGAAATTATGTTGTTGTATTTAATTGGTTTTCAGCTTTCATCAATTTGTCAGGCACGAATTTTTATGTAACTTTTTACTTTTGGTGGCAAATTGAAGTCCAAGAAATAAAACTGATAGAATTTTGTAACTGCTTAATTTTCAAGAATCATCTTGGTCATGTCTTATTTGTAGTCAAGCAGTATTATTGATGGTCATTATCTGCTGCAGTTGAGTAGTTATAAAGTCATTTAGTCCACAACAGAGCGATACAATAATTAAATGATGGCTTCATGTGCATGAGCAATAAAATCTTCATTTCAAACAAAGTGTGCATCAAAGCGATCTGTCTTAAACTGCGATGTATCAAACGGCGACATAACATAAGGATTCATAATCAAATCAGGCAGGGGGAACCCCTGAAATCAGGACTGGCAGTATTTAGTCGACCAGTAGAACCCAAAAGCTATCGACCCACACGCACGGTTAAAGATCGCGTGACTATATCTTGCTTCACTCACCCTGCATTGCAACATTTCGGCAATTTGGTAATCTAGCTAGGCACACATTTCCAACAATTCCTCTTAATTTCAATTCTTCCACCCTCTTCTCCTAATGAGGTGTTTCTATTTAAATAGAACACGCTCCATTTCTAAACGATAATAGTTTTATAGTTTTATAAGTAGATTGTACGAAATTAAACTGGTCCGCTGGCATCACTTGGATAATGAATACTCTAGTAAAGACTAAAGATTTTGCACATAATATTGCCCACCTCGTTTCAAGCACGCCGCCTGGAGAGTTAGCCGACTATCTATCGTATATACTTCACCGCTGTTAAGAGTACAGTAAAACCCCGATTAACCGCGGAGTTTGGGGAAAGGAAACAGCCGCAGATAGTTGGGGTTTTACTGTACTACCTAAAATTACAGAAAAACAACACATAAAGACTAAACTAAAATAATTGTTTTTCAGGGATGTCGCCGCCGATGATGCAGAACTGTCCTTTACTTTACCCTTCCCCCAGAGCAGCTCCCCTCTACTCCCCGATCTACTACCAACCCTTCCCCCAGTACCAGTGTATCCCTAGCAACCTCCCTAGATACGCCTACCAGGATCCTACTTACTGTTACAACTACGTCACCTCTATGTGATCTCTATCAGACTAACTCTGTGATTAATTATAATCATTATCATTAATAAACATTTATCATATTGCTAATGTGATTCATTCGTAGTGAATTGAGTAAACTCGTAATTGATATCATTATGTGGAAGGCATTATGTACCTTAGACAGGACCCTAATGGACTGCACATAACTTAATATTATATTATACTTATTTTATAGTTTGAGTTGTATTTATTGCTTTATTGTACTGTTCATTGATGACTGCTGTGTAAGACCCCGTAAACTGTACCAACTGTTCAAATACAATAAACCATGTCTTCGAAACTAATATTTATATTAATTAATCGAACTCTATTGTAATCTATATGATACGAATATATATTTGTGAGTATTAAGTTTGCAGGATTCATAATTCGATCTAATTATGAGCAGTTTAAGCATATGATTGATTATTTAAAAGCTTCGGTATTTTGAAATTTTGGCCAAATATTCGAACATGTACCATTTCACAGTGTGATTACAGTGGCAATGTTGATATCCCGAATGTACAATTTTAACTTTGAAAAAAATTCATTTTTTCATTGGGGCCTTTAAATTAGGTTTAAAGAAAATATGACGGGGTGGCCAAAAAATAAGGTACAAAGAAAGTGTATGCTTTATCCTCGGTTTAAAGTTTTTAAAGTCCTTATTTGGTTACTCTGTCTGCTCTTCTTTGAGTTTGTGTTAAAATTACTAGAATAAAGAAATCTAATAAACATGTGTGAAATTACAACTACCAGTTAGTTACTCGTTTCGATTTTTCGTAAAATGGGCGATTATTAATTGTATCATCATCATGTGTTAATTTAAATCACAATCACTATCAGCTTGATTTAAATAAAGATGCTTTTTTTCGTGACTGAAGGTGTCGTTAGCGGGAGTACTTATGAAGTTTTAAAATTTTCATGATTTCCCGGGAGTGACCATTTTGTTGAAAAGTTTAAATTTATCCATTTTAATTGCAATTTAAAACATTTAAGTGGAACTAGAATTACATCTTTTAATTGCAACAACGCCTAGGTTTGGAGGAATTTTTCATGATCCATGCAATGTAGACTTAAGAACTTTCTGCTCTTGGATATTTAGCTCACTATAAATGATTTGGAGCGGGAAAATGTAGTTAAATAAGCAAAAGGTGGCAAGACATAATTAACTAATTAAGTTGATTGAATAATTTTAATCTTCGTATTTTTACAATTCAACTTATTTTTTCTGAGAGTGAGATAATTTCGACTGATGAGGCTGCATTATTTAAATATGATTTAAGCTATAAGTTTGATCTATAATTTTTCTACATGGTCTATGTATATTTTATTCTTATTATACCTACATATATTTCTATCGTATTTGATTATATTTGATTGTTGTATTAAATTAACTGTTCTTGTTTTACTTTTATAAACAGTAGATTTTATCTCAATTTAATGTTCACATAATATTTTACATTTAAAAACATTCACCTTACAATTTCGAGATTGTTCGTAGCGGTGCAATCATTTCGCATCTGAACAAACAGTACTAGACACACAGTTGAAGGGAATGGTATAACATATGAGGTTTTTGTGTCACGCTCATATGATTAACTTTTAACAATCCACTTAGTCAACTAACCAGCGGCTAGCTGTGAAAAATATTGTTAATATAATTTCAACCACACATACACCATAACACTGATATAGTCATATTATACATATTTTTGTGCCTCACTCATATGATTAACAAATCAACTCCTGTGGTAGCCTATCACATCAGAGCCTCGCCCCTCGGACTGCATGAAATGTGATTAAAATATCTCTGGGTACACATAATGTTTCATTTTCAAACAAACTAAGAGTTAAATAAATAAATCATATTTTAACGGATCTTGGACTCTGACCTTAGGTTGTGAAATTGTAGGGCGGCGACATATGAAACAGTACTCTTGAGTTTAACTCTAGTGTCTTGGACGTGATAAACGTTGCGTACCACTTTTCGTAGGAGGTTCTGCTTGAAAAAATTGACTCTTCCAGATCCAGTCTTAACCTTAAATTGCACAAAACTCACTACACACTAGCTGAAATAGCTCTGTAGTCAGTGTAATACTAATAAGCGCCAAGCGCGAGCACAGAACTTTTTTTCTCCGATTTTGATAAATTTGGTACCCAAATTTGTCTAAAAATGTGAATATAATAAATCCACCGTGTAGCAATTTTCGCTAAAAATGCTACACGGCGCTTGTTCGCCGCGCGTGCTTTTTAAGAGGTTTTTCGCGCTAATTTTTAGTTTTTGGGCTATAATGTATAAGTATAACTTTCACATTTTCAGTTATTATCACATAATTATTATGGCATCGTAATCAGCTCATCGAGACGAAACTTTTAGTACTAATATTTTAAGATTTAAAAGAAAATTATTTTCAAAATTTTTCAATCTGAACACAAGGTAAGGGTCCCTCCCCCCTTGTGTGAAATTTTGAACAAATTTTTGAAAAATTTGGTGCTTCAAATATTATAATTTTGGTACCAAAAGTTGCGTCTGACTAAGCTCATTACGATACTGTAATAATTATTTCAAAATATTCAATATTTTAGGAGTTATAGCCATAGGCATTTCAAGCAATAAATTGCCCATTTTTCGTCCTTTGTATATTCTTGTAATGCACAGGAGGCCCACATATAGCTCGACGTTATTTTGCTACACGGTGAATTTGCATTATTCACACTTAGAGGCAACTTTTGGTACCAAATTTATCAAAATCAGAGACAAAAAATTCTGTGCCAACTCATGGCGCTTATTACATAGACTACTGATACGTCCTATTATTACTGGACATTGTTAACTAAACTACCACGTTAACAATTAATAAGTTCAAGCCGACAACGGTCCCCACAACTTGTCCACACTGTCTTATGGAAGAGGAGACAATGAACCGCTTATTGGTCAGTGCCCGAAATGGTCTTACCAACGAGGAGGATACTTAAAGTTAATGAATCCTTCTATCTTAGTGTGACAGACATAGTGGACAAGTTCTCACTACGAGTACGAAGGATCATCGGCTTCATACAAGCAACAAAACGATTTACTAAATGCGGAGAAAACAAAGTTTAACTTTTTTTCTCGACTAATTAATTTTTACCGGGGTAACCGATCGGGAAAAAATCTCAATATTCAATGTAATAGTTTTATTTGGTATTATATGAAGGCGGTTTAAGTTACCCAACTCCAGTATGTTTTGATTAAAGTGGGTGTTTACTTTTTGCGTTCACCTGTCTTGTTATAATGACTTTCGCACATAGAATGAATTTAACAGTTGCCATAATGCCAACAACCAACGTCAAATGTCAATGTGGACGGGAAGATCCAGGAGACAACAATAAACACATGCAGGACAGAGAACTTGTTATGAAAAATGAAGCAGCGTAACATGAATGATAGAAAGTTGGGCACTGCAAGAGCTGTAACTGAGTACAGTGACCGAAATGCGGGAAGCCTGACTGTAGAATTCAACTTGATCGTAGAAATAACTGATCTGAGCATGCATGCTCACCCTATTCTCAAGTAAAGTGATCAACAAGTTAATGATCGACATTATATGGGCACTGCTACGGGTAAGCAGTTTCCACCACGAGTCACGGTGAGATAAACACCAAATTAAAATCTGATTTGATTTGTATCTCTAATCTACCAATCACGTTGCAGGATTCCCGCTTTTACCCAAGATATGAAGGACTTCAAAACTGTCTGTCACTGTCACTTGACTACTTAAAACGTGGCATGGAAGTGGTTGCTATGTGGCTAGGCCGGTAATCCTGCTAGTGCTTAAACTTTAATCAGTTTTCTAGGTAAACTAGTGAATCTTACCGAGTGATTAACCATTGATCTAGCCGCCGCTAACGGTAATGCTATCTAATCAGCGCTTTGCTAGATATATTATAAAAGTAGGGCAAATTGTCTGTTGGACGCGAGTAGCTCTAGTATATCTAAATACAGAAAGAACATTTGCTGGTAAAACAAACACCTGCAGTGTTATTCATGTGACTGTGAGGGAATTAGGTCAAAGACCGACCACCGCTTAAGAGCCGGTTAAGAGCCGTTTAAGAGCCGTTTAAGAACCGCTTAAGAGCCGCTTAAGAACCGTTTAAGAACCGGCTAAGAACCGGCTAAGAACCGCTTAAGAACCGGTTAAGAACCGGTTAAGAGCCGGTTTAGAGCCGGTCAAGAGCCGGTGAGCGGCCTCACTTTGATTATCATTTGGTCTAAGTTATTTGATGTATTTTTTGTACCAAGTCATGCGTACTTCAACTGCTGCGAAGAAAATTGATTATCCAAAACTGTCGAGTCTGTGAACCAAAAAATCTCAACATGCAATGTAATGGTCGAATTCAAGTATCACAACGGCCCAATCACAGAAAAAAATAATTTACTTATTGGCTGAGGACAAGCTGCCATGACCAGCTTAATATAACCACCATGATACAGATCACAAATATCCGGTTAGAATATAACTATGACTATGAGATTATGCTATAAGGCTGATGAGAGAAATTACTGCTACTCCTTATAATGCACTACCAACTCACTGTATAATATGTAGCCTACATTTGCTAATCTGAATTCTGCAACTGATAAATTCTAAATAAATTCAATAAAAGCTTTTTTAGATTGCACAATATAAAATGATGAATGATGATATATAATATCTATCTAAGGTATGAAAAAAGGTGCTTATTGGTCAAGAAGAATATGCTCAACAGGGCTCCAATGCTCTATCTTACTATTCGGTTATGTTTATGAACATGATAGCCTGAGGTCCCCAGGTAAGTCGGAAGCAGCAGGTGATGATCACAATTCCTTCGGGTCGGGTCAGGCCCCGTATGTCGAAGTGATCCACTGAGTCGGTCATAAGCAGCAGATGATCCTAATTCCTATCACACGCATCGTATAAACTTAAAGACATATCTCTGATTGGGATAACATGAGTTTATATGTTTGGGGCTTGATTCTATTTCTACCGAAGCATCGAACAACATGTCTTCCACAGTCAGCTTCATTCCTGGGTGCACTTCTGGTTCAAGAAAATTATCCACGACGGATACCGCTACTGCCTGGATAAAAAGCGCGAGGTCAAGACCTACGAGTACGACGACACAGTTGGTGACGGAGTTTACAGACTGTATCCTGACGGCTGGAGAATTCCCCTCGCATTCAGCTTACTCCCCGGAAAGACGCAAGCCCTCCTTACCTGGATGAGCTTTTTGCCTTCGGAGTCAGCCCTGAATCTGTCATAAGTGACTACGAGAGAGTCCTGATTAACGCTGTGGAGACGACCTCGCCCACTACTACCAAGAGAGGATGCTTCTTCCACCACAAGCAAGCAAGCCCTCTGGAGGAAGCTGCAGCAACACGACCTGGTCTTTCTTTGTTCAGAATTCTCTGTCGCACTTGAGTTCGTGTCGCACTACAACATACAAGTACAGTCCAGGTAGCGTACTGTTATGTAGCACGGCAGTGTCGATCTTGGAGGTTTTCGCACTAGTGACTAGGGAAAGTGTCGCACCACAGTACGGGAATCATTTCATTTTGCTATGTTTCAGTACTACTGGACCATAACTGCTTGTGAATGGTTAGCTGGGTAAGCTGATAGGAGTACCTATAGTTTCAGGGATAATGATTTTATCCCCCACATTCCCAAATCATGGAATTTTATTGAACAAATAAATGCAGATCATGATCATGTAGTGGGATTAAAGATTTTCGTAATAGGCAGTATCCAATCTAATCTGGTTAGTTCACTTAAGGGGGGGGTGGGGGGGTTCACCCTGATTTTTTTTGTGAAACTTGGTTTTGAGATAGCAGTTGACCAACAAACTAGGACCGGTGACCGAACTTTTGAGGGGGTCCCGGACCCCAACTGCCAAACGGTGCCCGCGGGGCAGCTTGACATACGTTGCATGCCACTTTTCGCGGGGCAGCCACGCCAATATTTGGTCAAAATTAGGCCCAATTTAGCCAAATACCCTGAACATGCCCAAACCCAAGATTTTAGGTGCTCTACTTGTAGCTAGTAGTCCCCTGAACTCGTATATGAATTTTCATCAAGATTGGACAAAAATTGACTGAGTTATGAGCCAAAAACCATATGCCCATAATTGCGTAATTATCCTTCTACTCTTGGTAGCTTGAACTACACCGCTAGTTCCCGCTTCTAACGTGCTTGCTCATTCGTCACTCCCATGGTCCCCTCCTCCCGAACCGATTGTGACGGAGTAATAAGGTCACGTGTTAAGGTCACGTGACTTCGCACTGGACTCAAGACAGTCACGTGACTCTGCTCCAGACTAACAAGGTCACGTGTTCAGGTCCCCAGACAGTGGCTGCTTGCCATCAACCCTGTCAAGC